CTTGCCTCTTTTCTTTCTGCTTCTTTCATTCTTCTGAGGACAATAGTATGAGCTCACAGTGGTACAACTCAAACCATTACCACCGCCTTCTGCTCCCCCCTCCTCTTCTCCACCACTCTGTGCTGCAGTATCAGCCCCTGGAGCAACAAAGACCAGGCCTTACTGCATAAACACATTGTGTATGCGTGCTCACACGCACACACAAAAACACAAACAGGATCATTCTGCCTCGCCGAGAGCTAGATCTCCTGGTTGGATGTCTTGGATTTCTTAGAACTAGTTAACTGAAAGTGTGTCTGTGTGTGTGTGTTCTTGCGTTCCCGCTGTGTTGGCTGATTACCTGGCACAGGTTTGAGCCGATGCTGGCAGAGAGGCGTGTGTTTAAAGGATTATCCCGGTTTATACAACCTCAGTCTCCTATACCTGTTTTTTACCTTTTTGTTTCTATCAATTATGACAACGCTGGACTCACCAAAGTAATTGCTGAGATCTGGGAAACTGCACGAAACCAACAGTTTAGCCACACCACTTTATTTGGAGGTAAAACTGAAAGCGAGAGCACCATGAGTGTCCCTCAATAATCCCTTATATGGACAGAAAAACTGTGTGCGCATACAAGAAGGATTGTCAAAGTTGAACTAGGAAGTCACTCTGCAAACTGGGGTATGTTTACAACAGGCCGTTTGGTTAATAAGTTTACTCTTTCCTTTGTTTTCTCTTCCAAATCAGTCTGTGTAACCCTGGCTTTATGTATAACCTCTTTGGTTTTGTTTCTTGATCCACTGACCTTTCCTTTCAGTATTGCTGCCACAGTCCCCCAGTCTCTGTAAGGGAAGTATCGAGTATCACGATGTAGCTGATTCGATGTTGTTAAAAATGTTTACGCCATATCTTACATTAATTCAGTCATAGTGCGCCGCTGCCACAGCAATCACTGGCCTCACGTTACCTGACTTAGAAATGAATCCAATGAGTTTGAGTTATGCAGATTTTAAATTTGAAAATGTCAGAATCCTTATCGGGAGAGGAAAAGTTGGGGCAGTTCATCCACAATCTCTGCAATTCATTTTGTGAGTGGAATGTTAGATTTAGCAGCAGGTATCGTGGTTAAAAACTGCGAAAATAAGACTCCGGTCGCAATAAACCACAGTTATCCTATCAATGAATGGACCTGTCACGTGTGTCTGTCTGTTGTTCCTCTGTTGTTTGTACCCCCTGTCTGCAGCCAGTTAAAGCCTCGTCTCAAACACTCTTCACATCTACTTGTAAACAGTGGCCATGTGTATGTGAGTGTGGTGCGTGCATGCATGCACCAGCGTGTGCATGTGTCTCTATAAACCAGTCCAATAATAGAGGAGGACAGATCTGGGGTGGGGTTTCCAAGAGCGGGCTGGATAGCTACCTTTCAAAACAGCTCAGAGTGACAGCTTGGGCTCACACTGTCACGTCACTGGCAGTGTTGTGCTGTGCTCATAGCCCAGGGTGTTTTCAGGTATAATGAGTGCTCACAGCAGTATGTGTGGCTCTTGTATCTAGGCCAGCTCAGAACAGCATCCAGGACAACGATCACTTAGGTCCGATTCCAGAGAAAAAAAGCTGGTGGTATGTTTGCTGCAATAATTTAAACTACAAGAGGTAATGTCGCAGGAGAGACATGACTTTCAGGCTCCACAATGTGCTTTCCACAATGGGACCCAAGTATTCTGTGTCTGCTTGCTTTTGGCAGCATATTTAATTTTTCCTTCTGATGTGCCATCCACATATTTGTATGCAGCAACATGTCCAGCCTTGGCTTCAGCCCACAGCAAAATTAACAGCGAGCATTGACCATAGTGGTAATATTATTCTGTTGTGGTTACGCTGTCTCCATCTATCATCTCTCTCCATTTTTGTCTTCCTTTTTTTTCTGGGTCGGAATGAGCAAACAAATCAATAATGGATGACGAGGAGGGGCAGGGTTGGGCCGAAATGGCTTGAGGGATAAAAAGACGATGGACTCCTCAGATCTCTGCGATCTCATGCTCACATTTTTTCCCCCTCTTCTACTTCCAAAGCCAGATGTACGGAAGGTATACATTCACACACTTGATATCACTCCCTCAGCTATACTGAGCGCCAAAAGGAAATAAACAGGTGGCTCTATGACTGGGTAGAGGTGCAATAACAGGAGGGCAACAAAGATCTTGAGAAAGAAAAGGCCATCAGAATCAACAGTGATCCGTGCAACATTCAAGACTGTTCACTGTCTGTGGATGTTGAATTATGGGCAGACATAGACATTTGTAACACAAAATGTATATAGCTGTGTGTGTGTGTGTGTGTGTGAGTATGTGTGTGTCTATCTGTCTATCTATCTATCTGTCTATCTGTCTATCTATCTATCTATCTATCAAAAAAACATTACACTAAAACAAAGAATGAAGGGGTAGATACCTGGTTAATATAACGCAGGCAAATGTTGACTGTTATGGTTTGCCACTCAGGAGGGAGGGAGTGACCTTTGTATTTGGACAGGTTGTTATGGACTGCATCAAAGGTTAGCAACCATGTCCTTAGTTTCTAAATAGTTTTGTGTTTTGTTGGGGTGTTGGTGGCACTGGTGAACAAAGTGAAAAGTGTATGAACAAGGCTTGTGCAGACAGAGCCAGACAGCCCTCAGCACTACAGACAGAGGAGGAGGAGGAAGGAGGAGAGAAAGGAGAGCATCAGTAAAGTAGAATCCCAGAGCCCGATTACAAGACCTGCTCTCATCTGCCTGGAAAATGTGACGGGGCTGTCTAGAGGGGGGGCGCAGAGTTGTCAAATTCCAGTTCACATCCCACTTCTTACTGGCTCAAGGGGTTGATGACCGTTACAGAGGGATGAGAACCGAAGGAAGACCGTCATCAATCTTTTCTGACAGCATCTTCTCCCTTTTTTGCTGTACCAAGCCCCCCGTCTCTCGGTTGGCGAGAACAGCGTCTAGATGGATAAAGATTTTTTTTTATTATTAAAAAAACCCTTGGGGAAATTCAGCTTAGCAGCCAGTATCAACAAGATATAGTGTGGAGAGCTGAGGGTTAGCTTTGGCTGAGTCACTCAGACCTGTATTTTGTAAATGGAGCATGCTGTCAGAGTCACTCTTCATCCTAATGTGACTGTTAGGGGCCCGAGAGGGGTTTTGGGGCAGAGGGCATGACCTCCCTATTAAATAAATTTTACCTCCATTAAACCTGCTTTCTAAACACGGGGGTCTCATGCGAGTGATGTCACTTTATCTCTCGAGCTACCCCTCTGTGCATTAGCATTCTTTCTTTCACCTTCTAATGCTCCTTATGGGTGGGAGCGCTTGTTTTCAGCAGAGGTGTTTATGCATGTGATGTGTGCTGTTGTGTTGGGTCGGCTAATTACAAGGCCGCCATCTCAAGGATATGTGTCGCAGCCTTGAGGGGCGGGAGAGTGACTCATCCCCCATCATTGACAGCTCTGTGCGATGATGAAATTACACACACACACACACACACACACACACAGGCCACAAGTCAATACCACATGTTGTCAAAGCAAATATTCACACCATGTCATTAGCACAGACACATGGTGTAAGTATGCATTTATATGTTGTCTGTGTGAGCGTATGCGCCGTAGTGTCTTGATGCCACAAAACTCCCACGTTTTGGCCTTTTAATCAGTGAAGAATAACTGTGAGTGGACACAGCCGCTGGCTAGTGGCACAGTGTTTAGGTCTGTGTTGACAGGAGAGGGAGAGACATACGCGTGAGACAGGGGGAGGAGCGGGATGGTCACAGACAAATTTAGATATCCCACTTCTCTTTGTGGTAAAGAGAAACTGCACTCTCAGCTGTTAAACACAAAGGCAGCATCAACAGTCACTGTCGGACAGGCGCATAGCTGGATCTCTGCCTGCCTGCGAGAGTGTGTGTGTGTGTGTGTGTTTGTGTGTGTGTATTTTGATCTACTTCGTATGTGAGGGGAGTCTATACTGAAGCCAGGATGGAGGCCAAAGCCATCCGCTTTATTTTCAGCCACCGTTGTAAAGGTAGGACAGCTGTGGTAGACTGCCCATGATGTAGTTGCACACACTGGGTATTGGAGGTGTGTGTGTGTGTGTGTGTGTGTGTGTGTTGTTTCTTAACTCTTTAAAAGGATGCATGCGCAGCCTACTCTGCGTTGGCAGGCAGCTATGAGAGCATAGCATTAATCTGTCAGCTGTCAACACTGATCCAGCTTATCATCGTGTGTTTGTGTGTCCTTGAGGGTGTGTATATGTGTGCAAGTGTTGCTCTGGACACTTTGCGTGTCCATATCTATAACTGCAGTGGGCAGTACTCCTCAGAGGACCTTTTTGTAGCTGGTGATTGAATGTGGTTACTGAGTGTGTCTGCACTGAGTGCACTCTATTAATTTGAGGCCAGACTGGAGAGCAGCACGGAGGAGGGAGAGGGGAAGCAGGCAGGAGGAAAATGAAAAGTGATAAGCGGGGATAAATGACTGCCTCTGGAGATCTTTGTGTGTGGAAGAGGTTATCTGATCGCGCACACACACAAATGAAGATGTACACACATGCATAGCAAGTCTGTGCTTAACGGTTTGGCCGGAGTGGATTTCAGCCAAGGCTCCAGGCTGATGTGTCGGGGCTCGGCCAGGTGTTTGATTCTAGATGGGCTCCATCCACATCAGATGTAAAGAGGAAATGGCTTTAGACTTTTAACGTCTAACACATTGTTGCGGCACGCATCTTAATGATAGCTCTGCACTGTCAACAGTAATGTATGCAGCTTGCTCCCCAGTTGTGTGGATAATTGCGTGCAGTTAACTTTTTTTTTTTTTTTTTTTTTTAGAGTAAAAGAGGCCTTTTGATTTGTAGTGCGGAGTAACAAACATCCTGTGTAGGCTGTCTTCTGTGGCTTCACCTGGACTGTGGCGGGCATAATTAAGTTAACTAAGACGTTAAACTCATCTCTGTCTCTCTGTCCCTCCTCTTCCCTTCATCCCGGCAGAGATCCGTGCCCAGCTGGTGGAGCAGCTGAAGTGTCTGGACCAGCAGTGTGAGCTGAGGGTGCAGCTGCTGCAGGACCTGCAAGACTTCTTCAGAAAGAAGGCAGAGATTGAGGTGGACTACAGCCGCAACCTTGAGAAGCTGGCAGAGAGGTTCCTCACCAAGACACGTAGTACCAAGGACCATCTGCTCAAGTATGGGACACTCACGCTGCTCACTCACACAAAGCACCGACACACTGATGCTGCATTGATTTTATTTGTTTAGTTCAAAGTGCCTTTTACAACTAACACTCTTCCCATTTAAGTATTCCAAGTGAGATGAAAAGATTTTAAAAAATGTTTATTTGTAAACGGTATAGATTGATGACTTCCTTCCATGAGAAAGAAGTAGAGACTAGCAAAATATGTCTTACATCATTCACTGCTTCTTAGTTTGATCTAATGAAACCCCAACTGATTCATCGCTTATACATTTCATTAGGATACTAATTCCTGTCATCATTGAGTCCTGTGAGTTTGTGTGTGTCTGTGTGTATCTGTGCATTTTGCCAGAAATGGCCAGGTGGTGATTTTTTGCTCTGACTGTTTTGCAGTGTCTTGCTGTGTGTAACCTTGGCCAAACGGGGATAGTCGATCTTGCTCTCTCTCTGTCTCTCTCTGTCTTTCTCTGTCTCTCTCTCTCTCTCTCTCTCTCTGTCTCTCTGTCTCTCTCTCTCTCTCTGTCTCTCTCTCCCTCTCTGTCTCTCTCTCCCTCTCTGTCTCTCTCTCCCTCTCTGTCTCTCTGTCTCTCTCTGTCTCTCTCTCTGTCTCTCTCTCCCTCTCTGTCTCTCTGTCTCTCTGTCTCTCTCTCTGTCTCTCTCTCTCTCTCTGTCTCTCTCTCTGTCTCTCTGTCTCATTCCCTCATTGATACATAAGCATACAAATACACACTGGAGCTCCTTAGTTTTAGCAGTGGGATGCGTTGTTATATAATTTATCTAGCGGTTCTTGGTGGGAGCGAGCGGTCTGTTTCCCTGTGGGGAAGGATTCACTGAACTGCTGTCTAATCATAACCCTACTCTTTTAAATAATGATAATAAGCCCATCACTCTGATTTGAAGAATTTTATTAAAAGCCCTTCTAGGAACGGGCATTGGAAATTAGCAGTAGCTATAAATGCTGTGCTGCTATGCATTGGAAAATTGTTGTACAATTCTCTATGTTTATAGCATCTGTCCCTATCAAATAAACTTAGAAAAAAAAACAAAGAATCAATGTGTTTGTGTAAAATACTACTTGATGTGAATTCATCCATCAGTGAACCAAATCAGAAATCAATAAGTAGGCCCCTAATGTATCATTTCGTTATGGTTACCCAGGCGTAGCATTTGTTGTATTGCTTGTTCATAAATGAATTTGCTAAGAGAATTAATTCATTTGTTTCTAAGAGGACAATTAGGATATATTAAATTTTATTTACACAGTATTCTCTGTTTTTGGTAATCCTTTGCTGTAAAGGGAAACTCTGCTGACCTTTTAATAGACTGGATTTTCCAAAATTACCAAAACTGTTGAGAAGGACTCTTTACAGCCACCTTCCTCTTTTTCTCTCCATGTTCTGTTCTTGTTCTGTTTTATTACACATTGTGCACTTTTCCAGAAACATTTATTTCTCTGCTGGGGGCAAACCCACATCCATGCTCTCTCTCTCTCTCTCTCTCTCTCTCTCTCTCTCTCTCTCTCCTCTCTCTCTCCTCTCTCTCTCTCTCTCTCTCTCTCTCTCTCTCTCTCTCTCTCTCTCTCTCTCTCTCTCTCTCTCTCTCTCTCTCTCTCTCTCTCTCTCTCGGGCACACACACAACCGCACAGTCACAGACTAAAAGGGATCGATAGGGCTTCTAAACGAAACCCAATTCCAACCAAGAGGACATACTCCCAACACACACACACCCTGCAGCTCAGATCAATACTGAGGCAGTTGCAGAGTGTGTGTTTCCCTGCGTTGCATATTGGGGGAAGGAAGAAGAGCAGAGGAAAAGGACAGAGAATAAAATGTAGTTGAGCAGGGCTACTGCAGCGGCTTCAGCCGGTCTGCCATAGTCTATCAATATATCATAGGGCAAGAAAAAAAATTTTTCTATACCCAGCATCTGTGTAACAGTCTCTCTGCATCTGCTGCTGCTCAGTCCGGGTGCCATGCTGGAATTTCAGCAATTTTTTCCAGTTATGCATGTGTATTTTTATGTGTCTGAATGAAGGTGTGTGTGTGTGTGTGTGTGTGTGTGTGTGTGTGTGTGTGTTTGTTTCTCTGTACAGCCAGGCGTTGATGGTACTCCAAGCCGTGTGTGTGTGTGTGTTGATCCCATGGAGACCCCTGGTATTCCTGCTATTTGGCAGACTGCATACAGCAGTGGTGGGGGGTTACACGGTTTAAGTGTATTGTGCGTGTCAGTTTATGTGTGGTTGTCTGTGTGTGCCCTGAGGCTGACGGGCTGATTGGTCACATGGAGAAGCCCTCACAAGTTGCACACTGATTCAAAGCCTATCCTTATGCTAAATATTAGGCCAATTTCACTGTTAATAAGCTGCAGCCCCTTATACAACCCCTTGCCACAGCGACATATTAATTCAATGTGGTTTTTGGGATCTGATTCTAAAGATCACATGGTCGTATGACTGCACATGGACAGAGCATTTGCTGTTTTGCATCTATTGTGGCTGTATTTGTTTGAATCTACTTCATAATGTTTCTTCTCTCCCTCTCTGTCTATTTACATTGTTAATGGTTCTGGAAAAAACAAAATCACGTATCATAGCAGATTCATTAGACAACATCCTTTTTGATTCGACTTAGAAATATATGAAAGCAAAGTTTAGTCCGATCTTTGTTTTCACATGCATCAACACACTTGTTTCATTTACTATGTCTATAGGAGAGGGCCAAAATGTTGGCTTTGGTTGCATGCAGGTGAACTGTCTGTGCAAAGCGCAAAAGAGGTTCCGAGATTGCTAATCGGACTATAAACAATGACCGGCGCACGGAGGAGGAAGTCTTGGCCTGGATATCCGTTATCCGGATATTAACCGGCTACATCAGAAGCCCCAAAACATTGGCCCATTGCCCCCAGAGGCTAAATCGTTGTCAGACGATAGGTGGTGGGTTCCAAGTTTGCTGTGTGACGGACCAGAGGGAGAACTCGATGAGCACAAACTTCACTCAAGACTGTATTAATACAACAAATTACAATCACTGTGTGAAAATAATCCCATGCAGGGAGGAAGTCTGTCTAATATAGCTCAGCATGTCCTGCAGCGTGGTATAGAATACAGCATTTTGTATGTCCCCCCAGTCACAATTATACTGCCCGAGAATTAGCCAAAGGTACCGACTCAAGTAAAAACAAATTTACAAAAGTGAATGTTTAACTTGGGCATTTATGACAAAAGAATCATAAAATACCCCACATTTTAACAATAAACTGCTGTGTCATGGCACCCTAAACCAAATGAAAACAAAGGCTGCTTTCTATTGATATACTTTGGTTATTGTTATTATTAAAATGCTGTGGTAGGATTTGTAACCCAGATGCCACAAGAACCAGAATCGATAGAGAATATCAGCATTTGAACTGGGCTTGAGCTCATTGATACCCATCCCAATCAATACTGATAAAATGTCATAATATTACTGCAACTCTAATGACGTTTTGTTCAATAATTCAGCAAACTAGGAATAAATGAATTCATGTCCCACTATGGAAAATATAAAAAAGATCATAAATAACAATATTATACCATCTCTGATAGTTCTAGTTCTACATTGTGACATTGTGTGTCTATTTTGTGCAGCCAGACTGGTTTCTTCATGCAGCCTTTTGTTAATCAAATTATAGTCTTGTTCAAACAACAAGTGTCTCAGCAGCCTGTTGCCTCGACAGAGAGGTTGGACTTGGTCTTTAGAGTTTTTAACTGTTCAATTTGGGTCACTTCCCAAAAACTGCCAGCAGTGACGCCCTGTTTAATGCTATGCGTTTTGATCCTGAATGTAAATGACCATTTAGCATTTTCCCTCCAGAGTGAGTCACTGGCAGCACCTGACCTGAGGACTTAACTATGTTGTGACCATGTGACCTTCGAAGGGCCAGTGACATTTCAGTGTTTACCTAGCTGAGGGTCAGAGAGGGTTAGGTGATATTTCACCCAGTGTTGCGGTGCCATTACCATGGTGATCACTGGTGGGCTGAGGGTGACATGTCACATGGAGGCGGAGAGGACGGTTGCTTGAGCAAATAGAGGAACTGTGGCCCTGTTTCGGTGGAGAAAAATGTTGTGCAACCAGTGAAGACAGACGCGCCGGAAAGAAAACAGACAGCAGAGAAATGTTGAAGCAGAATGTGATACAAACAAACGTGTGTCCATGTGACCATTGCTCAAGTTTAGCATGGAGAGTTTCAGTGTTTGGGCTTTATAATAATTGTGTAGGTAGTTTTCCTTGAACTTGTTATTGTTGTTACACTCCATTAGTCATCTGACCAGTGACAGTCGGTACTAACATATCACATCACTAGGGTCTGATGAGATGAGTCATAGACTCATCTCATCAGACCCTACTTTCCCACACAAAGACGCTCACCACCCCATGGACACCACCCCCACCCTATACCCCTCTGTCAAAGACTTTGTCTGTCATGTCTGTGCTTTGGGTCACTGCTCTACTTTTTCTGACCCCTATCTAGAGTGTGTGTGTGTGTGTGAGATGTAAATGCCTTGCAGCTCTTTGCTGTTTCTACCCAGTTAAAGCTGCTTTTAAAGGCCTTCTTTCATCCACTTACACTCACTCATAATCCATTTTGCCCACTAGATCATCCATGGATCATCTATAAAACATACTGTACACATGCACGCGTGCGCGCACACACACAGCCACACATACTTTGTTTATTCACACGCTCTGAAAGGGGTAGTGTTGTCATGTAAGCAGGGCATTGACAGCCTTGCTTTAACGGCTTTATGGGCACTTGAAGCAAAGACAATGAAACAGTATTGAGCTATTAGACTATTAGTGAAGTCATTCCAGTCTTTAAATCTCTCTCTTTGTGTCTCTTTTTTGCTTCTCTCTCTCCTTTTTCTCTTATTCCTTTCTGCGACAGCTGTGCTTCTGGGGGGAGTCTTACCTCTCCCTGCTGGGTTTTGTACCCTGGCTGAATCCCCTGTTTGGGCTGACTCACTGTGTGTGTGTGTGTGTGTGTGTGTGTGTGTGTGTGTGTGTAAGAGAGAGACATAGAACAGCCGCCTTGTTCCCTCCCTTACTGTCTTTTTCATCTCAATGCCTTGTCTCATCTTTGTGAAAACAGTGGGTGGAGAGGGGTTTTTTTTGTCTATGTCTTTTACACCTGTCTATATTTTACATAAAGTAGACCTGTGTATATGTGTGTGCGCATCCATCAGTGGGATGAAAAGGCGGTAATTAGAAGATGAAAGAGACTTAATGCTAGTCATTTATCTAAAAAGATGGCTGGAGGTCCTTGAATACATGTTAAGACTCTCTGTTTCTCTGTTTGTAGGAAGGAGCAGAGCATTTTATCCCCAGTGAACTGCTGGAACCTGTTGCTGCTTCAGGTGAAGAGGGAGAGCCGCGACCACGCCACTCTGTCCGACCTCTACCTCAACAACATCATCCCCCGCTTCGCGCAGATCAGCGAGGACTCAGGACGCCTCTTCAAGAAGGTAACACACACTCAAGCACACACAGGACACGGCAGGATTGTGGATCACACCTCTTCCAAAGTCTTTGTTTTTGCTACCTGCTCCTCGGGGCCAATCTGCATCGTTACAATCAAATGAGATGTATGTGTTGGTAAATACAGTATAATGATATGAAACACACCTTGAGCTAGATTTTTAAGCACCTGATATCAACTCACATTTTAGAATACATGGCTATTGAGCCGTTGGGTGAGGTGTAAGTTTGATGAAGTGTGTGTCCTTTAAAATAACTAATTCTAGTTAATGTTTTGAGCACCTGTTGAGGGTCCAGTATCCATTGAAATTATTGTTTGAATTGTGTGATTTCATATGTCTCAGTAGTAACTATAATCTCAGTTCTGAATTCATGTCATATTTTTGCCCTCTCCATCCGTCTCTCCAGCATCTGTTTTCTGCCTTGGCTGATTTACTGACTGACAGCAAGTCAACTGAACCTCCGGCCAGGAGGTTTTTTTGTTGTCTGTGGCTCATACAGTACCCTCATTCTTGTCTCCTCTGATGTCTTCCTTGCTAGTCTGAGGAGGGTAAAAAAGAGATGAGGCAGAGTGATGGTGGGAAAGAGGAGATGTGGAGGAAGAACAGAAAGAACAGGGGGGGGTCACCCTGGAGATCAGAGCTTACTGTGACCTTGTAGAGCAAATACCAAGGCTGAGTCCTCCCCTGAGAGACAGTGGTTCATCTCCAGGCTGTACATGTTAGAGTAAATACACAAGTTGAGAGGGTCAGTGCATCACACTGAGATTGAAGCAGGCCATTTAATGTGTGTGTGTTCTTTTACCTCCTGATCTACTGTACCTTAAACGCTTGGGTTTCAGAGCGATGTGTTCATGTTTTGATTTGCATGCATCCTTTTTTGTTGAGCGCTTCAGTCTGGATTTAAGAATTAGAACTGGGTTTAGGTTAAAATATGAAAGGGTTAAGTTTAACATAAGCATAGGGGGTGTAAGAAAGAATGTAGTCAGTGGAAAGCGCTCACAAGTATAGTAAGATAAGTGTGTGTGTGTGTGTGAGTGGAAGGCGCAGTGAAGCAGTCTGTGTCTGGAATGTCATGGCAGAAACTGCTGATTTCCGACCTGATAGGTTGTCTTTGAATTACATTTACAGTCTGATCGCAGGCACACAGAACACACACCTCCACCCTAATTTTTCTGCCTGTTTGATACACCAGTACAAAAAAACCCACACACTTTCTCTGCTATTTTTCCTTTCCCTCTTGGTTCAGTTATGAACACTGATTTCTGTTTTATCACGCTGGTTGTTCTTTGGCATGAGGGTTGCTTCCATCATGTCTGGGTCATAAACAGTATGCACACATACACACAGAGAATGCTCTGATGGCCAATTAAGTAGATAATTAGTTCATTTATAACATTTCCAGTCAGTGGCATGAATACCAGTAGTGCCAGGGGCCATGACACACACAGTGTGCGCACACACACACACACACACACACACAGCTCATGGAGACGAACACCATATTAGAGAAGTCAAACACATTCATCTCAGTCAGTGTGGAAAGTAATGCACAGTGATACTGTTAGCGCAGCGGGAGTGTGTATGAGATCTGGTCACTGTTGGAGAGAAAACACTAATGAGTCAAACAGTATTAATGAGTACACACAGCTTCAACCTGGACCACAGACATCAGAGCTAATGAATAGTTGCCAGTTTCTGTTGCGGTCTTGCTGAGCCAGACGGACGACCACAGGCAAGATGAGAAGTCCAAAGGTCATGATCCACAGTTGATAGATAGGAGGGCTCAACCATGGCTGATGGCTTTTTGATTGGATGTGGTCTGACTGGTTGTCACCCGATGTGCGCCTCCGACAGCACTTTAAAGAGTGAGAGTGGAGCATCCGTCTGCCACGCCTCCCTAAATCTCTTCCCCGTCGCCTCCTCCCTTTGCAGCATGTTACCCCTCTGTTCCTGACCTTTCTACTCTCAGTGATTCTCCCAAACAGATGAATAATTACGTTTTTCTTACTCCATTACCCTCCCACTGCTCTCTCTCTGTCAGCATGTAAACAGCTTCTTCTCCCTCACTTCTCCTTCCATTTCTTCACCTTTCTATTTCATAAGACAACCTACTACCCTCTACTTTTTTACCAGCTCACCTCTGCACCCCCCGCTACACCCACAGCCACCCCCCTTCTGTGCCCTCTTCCAGGAGAAGACAGATGCTCAACATGTGCTGGCGAAATCTGTTCTTGCTTTCATTCTGCATTCCTTAACTGTTTTTTTCCCTTTCCTTCTTTACTTTCCCCCATGCTTGTGCCCCCGCTCTCTCTTACCTTTCTGTTATTTAAATTTTATGCGTGTACGTGTGAATCTGTGTGCACACATCAGGTTCCTTTTGTAGCTAGTTTTTGTCTCTCTTTGTGTGAAACCCCAGTGTGACCGGTGTCTAAGTGGTTGGGGAGGGTCCCAACATATTTATGCATAAGTATAAGAGGAGGCTGTTGTGTATATGTGTGTATGTGTGTGGAGTCTACTGATCTGTGGGTTGCTGTGAAGTCATCAGTCACTAGCAGTTCCTGGCAGTTGTGTCAGAATGGTAGTGCCTGTATTACTCCCTGTCCTTCCTCTTTTGTCTCTTTTGTTATCTTTTGCAACTTTGTAATCTTGCCCTCTGTCTTCAGCTCTGTTGTCCTCCTGCCCCCTCTGTCTATCAAGTCCATTACTGCCTTGCTCATTCATCTGGACTGTAGCGATTCCTCCGCTCCTCTTTTGCCAGATAATGTAGTCTTGATTGATAATGGGGCAGTCGGTTGACCACCTGACTCAGTGGGTATGGGTGTCATCAGTTGACTGAGAGATGACCAGGTGGATGGACAGATGGTAGAAGCTGCCAAGTAATGACTGAGCTAATGGTTAGGGCTCTTCATTCATATGAATCTGTCTTTTTCTCTCGGTCTCTTCAGAGCAAAGAGGTCGGTGTACAGCTGCAAGAGGACCTGATGAAAGTTCTTAATGAGCTCTACACGGTAAGTGAAATCACTGACGTTGCAATCACAATATGTGGATCCATAATGATGTGTTGTGGGAAGCTAAAAACAGCTTTTATAAAAGTGCTTATCACATTTATTTAACAGCATATTTCAAAACCAAAGATTCAAAGTACTTTACTAATATAACACGAACTGACTAACAGACAATACAAAAACATGACATTGAGAGTAAGGAGTCAACTTGGTTATAACACACTAGAGACGGCTCAGACTGAAATATCTCTACAATAACTATTGGATGGATTCCCATGGAGTTGTGTAAAAAAATCATGATCTGTGGACGATAAAGCACAATGGGTTTTGTGATTACCTGTCTTTTCCTGTAGCTCCACCACCAGCAGGTTGACATTTATGGTTTTAAATTAAATTATTAGTAACTATTGGATGGATTGCCATGAAATTTGGTACATACCTTAAGCGTCTCTTAAGATGAACAAGTTTTCAGTTAGCGCCACCATCACGTCAGAACACTTTGGTTTATGACCCAACAACCCCAAAAAACGAATGACAGACCATTTATCCTCAGCTTTACTTTGTGTTTAAGGCTAATTAGCAAATGTTAGCATGCTAACACACTAAACTACGTCACGATGATCAAAGGAAACAATATACCTGCTAAACATCAGTGTGTTAGCATTGTCATAGTGTTAGCATGCTGGCTGACATTAGCATTTACCTCAAAGCACTGCTGTCCTTAAGTACAGCCTGACAGAGCCCCTAGCCTGGCCACACTGTTTACATCCTTACTAATAGGACAGATTTAATAATTGATATTTCAGACATCATCACTGTCTGTTGTTTTGGTCTTCTCACTCTGTCCGGGGCATCATAGCGTCTGGTTACACATGTCCATGGTACTGCCAAAAGGACTGAGGCAATCAGAGTGTGTTTCACTGTCTGTGTGTGTGTGGGTGTGGGCAGGCAACTGTATAGCTTCAGCTCAGCCAGGCCCATAAAAGCAGGTCTTGTGCTGTAATTATAGTATATAGTAAGAGATAGAAATAGATCTGGTTTGAGTGACACGCACATGCTCATGCATACACACAGACAGGGCAGTGTGACTGTCTGCAGTGTTGTGGAAGGGTTTTGAGCAGTATAATGAGGACTCTGGTGGTAGTCACTGAAATAAGGCTGACGCTGCACTCGCACACTGGTGTTGTACAGTAGAGGAGGCTGGTTGTGTGACTCATTCACTGCAGTATTTTGGAATGCCAGCGCTGGAGGTTCATTCCAAAAAACCTTTGTGCTGTTTGTGCATCGAGTCTCAATGCTCTGCGCTCCTCAATATGCTGACTGGCATAATCCCACTTTTGAGCCAGAGCCAAAAACCAAAGTACACTGGTGGGTGAAAAGCACACGCTCATGTTTGCCTACAAATCTCAACCCTTGTTCCTAGGTGATGAAGACGTACCACATGTACAACACTGACAGTATCAATGCCGAGTCCAAGCTGAAGGAGGCGGAGAAGCAGGAGGAAAAGCAGATGGGGCGCTCCGTCCGACAAGACGACCGACAGACGCCGCGCTCCCCCGATACCTTGGCCAGTATCAAGAGCGACGAGAAACCCGTCCGGCGCTCCAGTGTCAAAAAAATCGAAAAGATGAAGGAGAAGGTGAGCGAGGCCGGGCCGGCCGGGGGGGAGAGGAAATGGAGGGCAACGAGTAGAGAGAGGAAAGCTGTTTCAGAGTGCTCCACCTGTTGTCTCACTGACTTACGATGTGTGTCTCATGAATGATTTATGAGTGCACGACTGGCTTATTGCTAACATTGTCTGCTACAGATGGGGCCTGTCACAGCAACATGGTTCTCCACTTCTTATTATCCATAATCAATACTGAGGCGTTTCACTCTAACACCTATTATCTTTTCCCTTCCCTCTCTCTCCCTCTCTACCTGTCATTACCTTTCTTCTTTCCTTCTTGCCTGATTTCTTTCCTTTTTTTTGAAAATCTGGTTTCAGAGGCAAGCTAAGTACACAGAGAACAGGCTGAAGGCCATCAAAGCCAGGAATGAGTACCTGCTAGCTCTTGAGGCCACCAACAGCTGTGTCTTCAAATATTACATCCACGACCTCTCCGACATCATTGACGTGAGTACAAACACAAAACTCTGTCACTCCATGGGAGCAGCTGACATATTTGTAGACTGTGTGTGTGTGTGTGTGTGTGTGTGTGTACTAGTGTCCTTTTGTTCTAGCCAGTGGTTGCCCCTCGGCCAGTCTCTTTGCATTAGCTTCAGTGCTCCTAATGAAGGCAGTAGACTGGTCACCCTCTCTGCATGTCTTCTGTTTTCATGTCATGTCTTTGCTTCCCACACTCCTCACATCAGAGTGATGTGCCCCCCCCCCCTCTTCCATAGACAGCCCGTGGCCAAAATCTACATAGCATGGAAGCAGTTAGTTTACTGCCGGATGAAAACACACACACACACCGCTTCTTGGACTGATAGACCAGTCAGCAGCAGGTGTTTGTTCTCTCACCCTGATTGATGCCACTGACACAGGGTCAGTGGTGCTCACTATATCAGTTCAATGTACGATGAATTGTATCTGTTATAGATTCTACATCGAAAAAGTTTAGGTTTTAGACCAATTTGCTTCAGACCAGCCTGGCAGCCATAGCCAGATGGAGAAGATGCGATGAGACAATGACAGTGAGTAAGGGTGTACTGCTGAGGAAAATATGGAGATACCAACTGTGTCCAACCTTCCTGAAGAAGTGAACATTTCTCCAAGCAAAGCTACAATGGATATTTTGTCTTTTTGTGTTGTTTCATTTATCCATCCAACATTCACAAAATTTCAGGCGCACAAACTTTACATTGATAAATTATTGATAATGTACAAATTATGCATCACACCAATGTTTTGCAGAATTTAATTAAGTAATTTAATTACATCATGTGTCAGATGATATTGGAGCCATTACTGTATACATGTTGATGAAACTTGAAAGTCAAAATAACAGATAGGCTTATGGTAGTAGCGTTGAAAGTGGACATCAACACAAGGTGACAACTTCATTTTGTTTTACCAACAGTGTTTGTGGATGTTTTCTTGTGTGTGTGCAGTGCTGTGACTTAGGATACCATGCCAGCCTGCACCGCGCCCTGAGAACCTACCTATCTGCAGAACAGAACGTAGAGGCGTCCAAACACTCTGGCCTGGAGACACTGGATGGAGCCGCAGAAAGTTTGGAGCCCAACGGTGACAAACAGAAGCTGATGGAGACCTACAACAACGTCTTCTGCCCCCCAGCTCGCTTTGACTTTCAGTCCCACATGGGAGACACGGTACAGTTCTAGCGCTCAAGTTATTATTATTCAGTGTCTTTTCTTTATAAATACATACAGTGTCTGCGCACTGGGAAGGGCAGAATCAGGTTGTTTTTATGACGCTGTTAACTGTCTCACTTTCCACTGTCTTTATTTGTGTGTGCGGGCGGGTATAGATGGGAGTGATGTGTGCGCAGCAGCCGGTGGAAGGCGAGCTGCTCCAGAGGTGTCAGCAGCTGCAGTCACGCCTCTCCACACTCAAGATTGAGAATGAAGAGGTCAGCCATCTTTCTGCTTCCTCTTATATTATTCATTCTTCTGGTTCATCTTCCGTTACAGCCTTTGTTTCGTGTCTTTTCTTTTCTTCCGTTCTCACCAGGTAAAGAAAACCATGGAGGCCACCCTGGCCACCATCCAAGACATGGTGACAGTGGAGGACTACGACGTCTCTGAGTGCTTCCACCACAGCAACAGCATGGAGTCGGTCAAGTCCACCTTCAGCGAATCCTATCTCAGTAAGCCCAGCCTGGCCAAGCGACGGGCCAATCAGCAGGAGACGGAGCAGTTTTACTTCACGGTCAGTGCTAGTTGTGGTCATCCATGATTTGTAGGGAGTATTATTGCAGCTTTAGTGTAGTTATATATGAGCATAGTCTGCACATAGTGTGACTCCAATGTGTGTGTCTTTTGTGTGTTCTAGAAGCTGAAGGAGTTTCTGGAAGGAAGGAACCTGATCACCAAGCTGGAGGCCAAGCATGACCTCATCGAGAAGACCCTGGGAGAGAGTGAGTGGGGCTCTCACACTGTCCTTCATACACACTTTTTAAACTCTGTGTGTGTGTGTGTGTGTGTGTGTGTGTGTGGAGCCCCTCCAGTTTGAGGGAGATGGATTCAGGAAAGGTCTTGCGCCCTGAGGCAAAATAGGGAGCAGATCAGAGAGATGAGCGGTTTAGTGGGACACTTCAAGCTGTGTCTGTGTGTGAGTCGAGTGCTAGGTCACAGTGACAGTGACCATATGTGGATGCAGCTGTGTGTTTAAATGTTTGGGGGGTTGTCCTCGGGGCCGACCGTGTCTGCATTTCCGCAGAGGAAAACCTCTTCCTGAACTGTGCATGTACAGCTTAAGAGGGAAGTTTGTTTCCCTGTTTTAGTCCATCTGAAGCGGTTTCCTCATGTGTCCTGCTTCTACTACTATAACTGTCTCTCTCTCTCTCTCTCTCTCTCTCTCCTCCCCTCCCCCTCTTCCTGTTTCTCCCTCCTTTAGGTCAGAAGACTGACTGTTGCCTTGCCAGGTAGGTGTGGTGAAGGAAGGAAATATGCTCACACACACACACACACTCACACTCACATATACCATAGCTGTGTTTAAGCCTGATTTCTTGGCAGCCAGGGTTATTATTTTCCCTGTCACTGTTTATAGATATTCTCAACACATGTGCGTATGTGTCCGTGTGTACAAACAGAGCGTTGCCAGAGTTGTGATTATAAATAGACTTTCTCTGGAGACATAATGACAGAGTGCTGTTTCTTTCTCTCCCTCTGTGTAGTGGACGGAGAAACTCGTCAGTACGGAAGCAGGTAATTATCTGTCCTAAGTGTGCGTCTGTGTATGTTTGTTTCAGAGCGGCTGTAGCTTGGTTTTTAACACTGTCCTCCCCCAACAGGATGTATTTGCACCTAGAGGTTGACATCACTTTGGTTATTATCACGTATAACCAATTCACAAATTTATACATTTATATCTAAAGATGAATCTGTTTGCATACTGTCATCAATGTGAAACAACACATGATCAAAAGCAGTTCCTCCATTGGGGGAATCTCATGTTTGTGGCTCCCCCTTGTGGGTGCCTTGTGTTTTGGCCATCAGCTCTCACTTTATAGAGAAATCAATTGATTGATTTAGATCAAGTGAAAGTCAAGGCTTTAACATATTAAAAACACAATGGGATTCACATATTAGTGGGTACATACATGGTCCAAAGTTCATGCCACGGTCTTACCACCTGGAGATTTCTGGAAACCTCAAACAAACAAAGGGAAAAGGAAAAATCACCGTCTCCTAGCAACAGCTAGGTACTGCGCCCACCCTCTTCCCCCCGTACATAAATGTGTGCACCGATGCGTGTGCATGTGCAGACGTGTGTGCGGAAATCCTCCTGACAGGAAGTGCGCGGTGTTTTATTTTCACACCGGGCTCCTGTCTTGTCTTCCTCTGGCGGGAGTAATTCTTCTCCCCCCCTCTCTGTTTTAGGACTCGGGTGAAGCCATTCCTCTGATGGTCGAGAGCTGCATCCGCTTCATCAGTCGCCATGGTGAGTGAAATTCTCCGGTGAGGTGATAGGTTTAGCATGAGCTTTTCCGCCACGCTGATTGGTTGTGTTGTCACGTCGAGTGTGATTGGTCCTGGATGATATGAAGCTGGGAATTTTACCAGAACTTCTTTAACCTCTTAAAACCTCTCGTAACCTCTTTAAACCACAAAAATGCTAAATATCCAGAACTATAAAATCCTGAAAATGGAAAAAAAGGGTTCAGTTTGCATTTAACAACCCTGCGTGTGTTTGTCTGTGTAGGTCTGCAGCATGAAGGCATCTTCAGAGTGTCAGGCTCTCAGGTGGAAGTTAATGACATCAAGAATGCCTTTGAGAGAGGTAAGATTATCATCCAGCAAGCAAACATTGGCATTTTAAACTGCTCTTGTTTGTCCAGTGCTTTATTGTATTTTCCCTCCTCCTCCCTCTTCTCTCTGTCTTCTTGTCCGGATATAGGTGAGGACCCGCTGGCAGGGGACCAGAATGACCACGACATGGACTCCATTGCTGGCGTCCTGAAGCTCTACTTTAGAGGACTGGACCACGCCCTCTTCCCTAAGGAAGTCTTCCATGACCTCATATCCTGTGTCTGTAAGTCTCTTATCCTTTTGTCTGTTTGTGTGAAGTGTGTATTTATGTGCTCGAATGTGTGAGCAGTCTCCTGAGTGTCATGGTCTGTGTCATTTTCTAGCGATGGAGAGCCTCCAGGAGCGGGCAGTCCACATTAAGAAAGTTCTGCAATCTCTGCAGGGCAAAACTCTCATCATTATGAGATACCTATTCGCCTTCCTATACCAGTGAGTAGCAGGACACACACACACACGAACACACACCAGTAATCCAAAGTAAACAAATAAGTGAGAAATCCCAAATTTTTAGTTGATAAATAAAAATATGATTATAGGTAGATGTAGCTGAGATGTGTTCTAGGTTAGTAGTTATTGCTGTAATGTTTTAACATGACATGACAGGTGAAAAACCTAATTCATAGTTACAAAGGCAACACTAACTGCAACTAGCAGAATGTCAGTAAAACTGGTGTCATAGTCACCACTTTTTATATTTGTGTTTCAGAAAATCCTCAGGCCAGAGGCCTATATTCAAAAAATGTTTGGTGTAGTTTCAGAAATGGTGACAGCATAGGTGCTTAACATGGACAGTCTGTATCAGTATAGAGGAACACTGGTGTGGGGAAGATGTTGGATGAAGTTGAGATGGACATTGTGGCAGCTGAACATCAAAAGCTAGAAGAAACAACCACTGAATTAAACACCACTGTGATACAGTCTCAAGAAACAAACTGTGATATCAACATAGACTAAAGTAGATCACTTTAGCTTTAGCTTCATACTTATATTCAGAATCAGAATGCTTTATTGCCATTGAACATAGTTCATAGAGATCTGTACAATAAAATAAAGATAAAACTGTAAAATAAAATAAGTAAAAGGATTGTCAGAAATTCACATATACTGGTAAAACTGGTATCTGCAGTAGTAAAAGATATTGCCAAGTCAAAGTATCAGTGTAATATGCACTCAGGCGTGATGATTTTCTAAATTATCTCACATAAAGAACACTAAATAGTCCAAACGTCTTTCAGCATAAAAATACAAACTACAAGGAGCTATCTGTTGAAATGGTGATAGGGCTGGGCAATAAAATAATTTGATAATTATTGCAATATCATTTTCCTCAATAACAGTATAATAAATGTTCAATATATTGTCATTAAATATTTGGTTTAATTTATTTGAATCATGAACAAATTAGCACTTAACTTTTCTATTAAAATTTTATTTTGTTGAGGAGGTGGGACTGAGAAAACATCTACTAATCATATTTGTTGAAAAAGATTAGATCATCTAATCTCTAATCATCTGTGAAGGTTCTCAGTCATGCAGGTCATAGTTATCCAACAAAGGTTGAGGTCAAGGGCAACTGGACTTGGTTGAAGATACTAGAAGACGTTTCGTCCCTCATCGAAGAGACTTCAGTTCTGAAGAAGTTGCACTTGACCTCAACCTTCGTTGGATATTAGATCATAATAATTTTGATTGTACTACCTCCAGATTTGTGAAGTGATCCACTGTCAAGTGTCACATTCTGACCATAAAGAAAAGTTTAACCAAATAATTAACCATAAGGTTTCTTCAATTTTCACTCAGGAGCAAAAATCATCCTTTAAACTTGAAAGAAATAATGATATATATATATATATATCCACAAATCCACTATGAAATAAAAAACTTCTGCGAGTGCTACCATTCTGAGACTGCCTGTGTCCAGGATCAGTACACACTGATGCATAACTTGACATAAAAAGCAAACAACCTGAATCCCGCCCAGTAATTTATAAAATAGGTAAGCTGATAAACTGCCTTTCAACAGTTAAGGATCCTCCTTAAAGCTCTTCTAATCTAACATTAGCTGAGTACACAGTCAGTAATTTCATAATAAGGTTAAAAGTCCTTCATTTGGCCTTCTCACACTAAATCTAAACATCCTTTAACCTTTGTGGGAAGTCAAGTGTAGGTCCTAATGAAAGTGCAAAGAACAAGTCAAGTTTATTTGTGTAGCCCCACATACAGTGCCTCAATTACAAAACATTTGTCAAAAAAAACATCCATACAACGTTACCTTTCAAGGATTAGAAACGTGTATTAACAGAGGTACTGCTTTTTCAATAACAAAACTAATAGAGACACACGTTCCATGCTGTCCAATCAATCCCTAAAAAGCATGATACAGCCTTTCTGTAAGGGGAGGTAGCAAAAGGGAGTGAAAGACAAAAATAAATGGGATGTGGGAGACCTGAAATTTGAGACTCCTGGGTAACTCAAGTGGTCCCTGATAGCTCATGTGGAGACCGTAGGGGAGCTTCTTTTTTTTTTGCTGAAGTGATTTACAGTCACCCCAATGCTCCTGCTTTGTCTCACACACTGAAACACACACATCATCAGATCTCCTATCACCACAGTCCACAAATGAAGTGATTCATGGATGCAGGTTTGGGTAGTTAACCGTTGGCCCTTGTGCAATCAGACATACACAGCTATGCATTCACAGTTTATGCGTAAGCAGGTGGTGATGGCGGCTGTAAATGACATGTCATGGTTGTTTGTGTGCACGGTCGCTTTTGTATATATTATAGATGTTTAAGAGAGAAGGATAAGGTAATGCCCTCTAGATGACACTGCTTTCCCTTCCGCCCAGCTTGTCTCAGTACAGCGAGGAGAACATGATGGACCCCTACAACCTGGCCATCTGTTTCGGTCCCACCCTGATGTCTGTCCCCGAGGGCCACGACCAGGTCTCTTGCCAGGCCCACGTCAACGAGCTCATTAAAACTATCATCATCCACCATGACACCATCTTCCCCGGAGTGCAGGACCTGCCAGGCCCCATCTACACCATCCCTGGAGTTGGCGATGAATTCTGGTGAGGACCGGGGACGAGAGTGTGTATGTGAATTGATGTAGCTAGTAGGACAGCAGGGAATGTCTTGTCCAGTTGTTGCCTAACTAGAGGGGGCTTGGAGATGGTGAGTAGGCCAGAAAGGAGAGGGGGGGGGGTCTGATTTAGGGGCTGTCGTGGAGCAATGGGGGGCTCAGCCCGTCTGCTGAGGGCCAGGGGGCCACGAGGATCAGCTTACCCTCCATCACACAGGAGATTAAAGAACCGCCTGACCACATCAGCATGCGAGACCACAACATGAGCACGCACACACACACACACACACACACACGCGCACACACACACACACACACAATGCACACCAGGGCCGGCTTTCAATTTTTCTGTAATGACAAGCCTCAGCACCAGTTATTATGACTACTGCCAGTGGTTTAGACTGTAAGTCGCGCTGGGCTTTGTTGCACCCAGGGCAACAGCTACTATTAAGGTCATATAATCAATACTGTACTTCTTCTGGGAATAATGGTTTTAGCAACAGGAGGGGGTGTGTGTGTTTACATTCAACAATTAAAACGAACATAGTAGGTTTTTAATTGGTTGATTTCAGACTAAATATAGATTCTGTATTTAACTTTAATACTGTTAAGCCAAAAAAATTAATTAATAAATTGCTAAATCAAGCATTTACTATTTACCCAGAATCTTACTCCTGGCAGTGTAGTTATCAACACACATAATGAAATCTTCTGACACATTTTGTCATGTATGGATACCTCTACATTCTTGGTGGCAGTGTAGAGAATGTTTGTAGTACGGCCTTGGATGCATAGCTCTAGGTCTTGTAGCGCCTAAAAGACGGTACACATTTGAAGCAAAAATGTTGTTTGAAGGAGTGTACAAGTTTGCATTGTGGCTATAATCCGAACACTAAGCTGTGGTGTGATGCATACAGTATAAGCGTGTGTGATTTTAAGAGAGGAATATGAGGTCAGGCTGTGAGTCATCCAACACGTGCTGTCAGTCTGGGACATTTGGGGTTGTGCCGTCTAACCCCATCTGCCCTCTCTGTCCACATTAGCGACAGTCCACACTGTGAGCCCCCCCTTGTGGAAGAGCCAGCGCCTGACACAGTCTCTGTCAGCCACAACAGCGAAGATGGTGCGTAACACACACACACAAACGTGAATACATGCAATAAATGTACTTGTATAGTATGTATATTATGTCATCAGTTTATGAGATCTCTTCCTGCTTTTCTCACCAGTTACTATAGCTCCTACCTTTTAAACCAGCTCACATCCCGCTCCCAGCAACCTCTTAACTGCTGCTTTGTTACTTCTCAGCCATTTTAACATTCGTGCGGTCACCAAATATAGCAGCACTAACCTGCTACGCACTAATCTGGCTTTCCCTCTCTCCCACCTCTCTTTTCTCTCCCGTTTTTTGCTGCTCCCTGCTTCTCTGTCACTTCCTGTGTCTGTCCACCATCCTCTGAATCTCAGGCTCCTTGGCTGTTTCAGAGTGCGACCCAATCGAAGCCATTGCTCGGTTCGACTACTCCGGCCGGACTAGTCGGGAGCTGTCTTTCAAGAAGGGTGCATCTCTGCTTCTGTACCAGCGGGCATCTGATGACTGGTGGGAGGGGCAACATAACGGAGTGGATGGACTGGTGCCACACCAGTACATCGTGGTCCAAGACATGTAAGATGTGTTCCAGGCAATAGTCTTGATCAAATATCTGCGTAAGGAACAGAATATGAAATCACAGTATTTGTCATCCTGGGTTTTCATCTCGTGTTTTTGACTGTTGTGAATATTGATCATGATAATATTTCACTCAACGCTTCTGTTTAAGAGTTTTGGGAACTGCAAACTCTGGCCATCTGGGCAACCAGCAAAGAGTCAAAGAGAAACTACACTTGTTCTTTAATCTGACCAAAAGTAAGCACAGAAAGTAGTCCGCTGGAAATCCCCGTAGCTAAGGAAGTTAATCTGCTTAGATATGTAGCGAACAGTATATCATAGTAGATCAACTTCCTTGCCAACCAACATGTTCTGTTCATGCGGGCAGAGTGGTTTGTTCACATACATGTGAAGATTTTTTACAACTATGTGCATGCTAGCCAAGTGACTGCACATGTGAGAAGATGGTTTAGGTGCGCAGGTTTCCCAACTGAAAAAATAGTCATAATAGACATAGTTTTGTGAATAATACCCAGATTGACAAGTGCTGGATTGTCCCTTTTTAAGTTGCTGTTGCTTTTCTTTTGGATAAAACACTTTGTAGTCTTGAAAACGTTTATCAAGTTTACTATTCATTTAGTACAGCAGCAACACAGTTTTCACCACTGCTTGTGCTTTTATGTCTTTCTGCCGTGACCTATTTTGGATGTGAGTCAGTAGCATGTACAGTAGTTGCTAAGTGGAAGCAAAGTTGTACTTCAGTCAGCTTTGTCATCCAGAAGAAATGTATGAGTGTGGGAGACAGTTCCTCCTCTGTGCTGACTTGGCACAGCAATGATTTATAAACTATTGCTTGATTGTTTCAGGACTGACGGGGGCAGGGGAAGTCCAAAGCCTGATGTGGACAGCAGGGACCTGCTGGAGGAGAGGGTGTCTACTAGAGGCAGTGCTGCCTCTCCTACTGGAGCTCACGTGGCTGACATCTATCTGGCCAACCTAAACAAGTGTGTCTTCTGTGTAGATACAGGCTATTTACAGTATATCATAGATTTTCAGTTGATATGGACTTGGGGCCAAACCATAAAAAGGAAAATATCTTCTTGCTTCCTTCTTTATGATATGTTGTTTTTTTTGTTGTTGTCACACTTTTTTTCCCTGAGTTGGCTGACCCATTGAACCGAGTCACAACAACAACAACTAAATAATAAAAAAATAAAAATAAAAAATAAATATATATATATATATATGAAATATTTGTCTCATTCAGGTTGAGGAAGCGTCCCGAGTCCGGGAGCATCCGAAGAACCTTCCGGGGCTCAGAGAGCGACAGCACAAGTCCAGGAGCCGGCGGAGGGGGAGGAGGTGTGAGAACAGCGTCTCTTCCTGTTGGTGGGGCTCTGGTGAAAGAAACAGGAGACAAACGACCCGTCAGCGCTCACAGCATCCTCAACTCAGTCACTCGCCACTCCTCTCTTAAGACCAAGGTAAAGTCTATCTATAGTCTTATCTTCAACAAATGAAGTGAATGTATTGAATTGACTATTTTAGTTTAATTCTGCAAGCGTTTAATTGAGACCATTGTGAACATATAGGTGGAGAGTCCACAGTTACGCAAGACAAATACAGCAGGGCGGTCTAAGAGCTTCAGCAACCACAGACCACTGGACCCCGAGGTCATAGCCCAGGTGGAGCACAGCTCACAGGTACAGCTCCCGTTTCACGGATCACTTAAATCCACATCTGCTACTTCGTGCATTTGTATGCACAAGGTTATATATACTTCTATGTCTGCCTCTTATGTTGCAGGACATCGAGGCCACGATGAGCTCTGCCCTGAGTGAGCTCAGTAAGTTGGAGAGACAGAGCACCTCGAAACATACACACACCCCTGACGTAGTCCTGGACACACTGGAGCAGCTGAAAGGTGTGTGTGGTGGAGGAGGGGGAGGAGGAGGAGCCTCGGAGCCCTCCAGTCCACTCCACTCCCGTCTGTTACGGGACAGCGAAGGGGGCTCTTCACATGCCCACCCATTGCAACGCAGCGCCTCCTCCGCCAGTGACGTGCCCTCCTCCTTCCGCCCGGCCAAGAGCCAGCCTCGGAGCGCCCTGCCCTCTACCACATCCCCCTCTCTCTCCTCCTCCTCCCTCTCCTCGTCTGTACCTTCCTTTAGAGAGCTGCGTCCCCCTGCAACAAGGCCCAAGCCAGTAGTGTTCCCAAAAAGCGGAGGAGGAGCTGGTAGTCCAGCCATGGGTTCCCCGACCTCTACAGTGCCCCCTACACCACCTCCTCCACTTGCAGGCCACACACACTCTCTCCCTCATGCCCCTCCTCCTCCACCCTCAACCCAGTCCAACGACAAATCCTGCCCGGCTTAGGACCCCATTATCTGATCCACGATACTAATTCTCACAAACTCTTTGATTCTTACAGGTGCAGAAAGCACTTAAAGACCTAACCCACTACTCATGTGTAGCATTCACTTCTTGGTGTCCAGGCGAGCATTTAAGATGCCATTGTTCCCTTTAGAGTGTCAAGGGTTATTTCTGCCCTCTCCTGGCAGCTCTGCTTAAAACAGGTCCAAATGACAGGGCGTAGATTAGTGGACACCCTTCAAAGACCCTTCTTATCCTGTGCCTGCAGGAGTTTCCAGGGATCACTGGATTTCAAAATCTTTTACAAGGGAACAGGAATCAGGATGGAGACCTACAGCTTACATACACTAGTTTGGTTGTGAAATTGTCTTTGAGTGAGCGTGCAAGAGTGTTACTTGCCTTTGCATACATACCTATGTGAGGAACAAAAAGCACTGTTTCATTTTGTATAGTAGACATGACAGGTTTTTTTCTTTTTCTTTTTTTTTTTTCTTTTTAATGACCCACGACTAGCGGACTGGAAGGGGGGCATTTGATTCCTCAGAATAGACTGTGAAATGCTAAGCTCTCACTCTGTAGAAATGAAACACACTGACTTGCTGCTTCAGAAGTGAAAGACTGGGGGTAAAGGTGGACTTTTTGGATGATGAAAGAAATCTGGGCCAAATATCAGTGTAAGTCATGTCATCAAGAGCTTTATTTGATCTCTTCCTCCAGTGTTTGATATGTTGGTGTGTTGTTGTATTATTATTATTATTATTATTATTATTATTGTTCAGTACTAGTACCACAACAGGAGCATAGCAGGACCAGTGTTCTCTCAAACACGGCCAACAGTAATTCTAAATCCAAAAATATAGCAATAAAAATAATGAAAGCTGGTAGTTTGTGGCATTATGCTGCTTCTCTCCTGCAGCTCTGTTATGTATGTAGAGGACCACTGAAACCCAGCCTTTTTATAGGTAATGTTGGACTGTACACGTGCACGTACACATTTTCTCTAAATGTGTGTGTGGTGGTGTTTTGTGGCAGCTAAACGCCTTTCAGGTTTTCCTTGCATGCTGGGGCCGTAGACAGCAGCCACAGTGGTGTGCTTGGCATCAGTTTATATATCTGCAGTACCAGCTACAGGACGACTTCAAACAAAGTTACAGCTTGCTCCTTTTGACTATATACTTTAAACTTATCAGTTAAGAGGGGTTTTATTATTCTAAAGGTGTATGTATGTTTAATAATCATGATGATAACTGGAAACATGGAGCTAAGGATCCTCCTGAGTGTGTTTAGACAGAAGCACAACCAACCACCTCATCCACTGCGTTCTTAAGCAACATATGCTTTTATTTAAAAATAAATAAATGGTTCCAGTTGTTTATTACTGCTCAGAATCTGTAATGGTAAAATGTTGAACTGTGTAGCTGTCTGGGTGTGTGCTCGCCTGTGTGAGCACGTGTGGATGTAGAATGTGTGTGCACCTCACCTCACCTCACCCCACCTCTGCCCACCCAACATAAAGGGACACCACCCAACAGCAACTCGCTGGAGACTTAATGCCTCTCCCATGTTCTTGAGTACCAGCAGCCTTAGTGCTCAGTAAATATGCACTGTGTACATGTGACCAGATGAAAAGCCTGCAGGGATACATGAAATGTTGTCTCATCTTGAGTCGCCGCTGGAACAACATCAGAGGCAGACCAGCTTTAAGTAGAAACAGGACGAGAAAAACACAAATCCAAGGACTTAAACTTAGACTGTTCTTTTTTATTTATATATATATATATATATATATATATATATATATATATATATATAATTTACTAATATGTGCATTTGCAAAATCAGATCTGATGATGAATTAAGGAATATGTGAATACTTTTGCAAACACTGACTTTACAAGTGGACACATACCATTCAGGGTAAACTGAATAAAGCCTTTTTTTGTTGTATTTCACCTTCTTGAAAAAGTATTGAACAAAATGTGTACCTAGGTGTCCTCGTATTGCCCTCTATCACGCCTTTCCCCTTCTCCCAGAAATACAGCACATACTGCATTCCTGTATGCTCTCGACCAGGTATTATGACCATGAATTATACTCGTTAAAAGGTTTATTAAATTTCTGTGTACTGTTTGTGTATTGCCTGGTGTATTTGTGTTGCTCTTACCTCATCACGACAACTGGAGGGAATGTGACTGTGTGTGTATGTGTATGTGTGTGTGTTCTGAGAGATGAACTCCCCTTATCAACACACACGCATTCTCATACATACAGTACATACATACAGACATGCATGTGGTTGGTTGGTGTATTTTGTCCCGGCTGTGCTGTCAAGTGGAGCCGGGACCCTCTTCGATCCCAAATCAATCATCGTGCACTTGAACAACCTGGCTTGCGTGTGGATTAACTGTGTGGGGATGATTTATCGGAATTGAATATTGTTAAATATGCATTTTTGTGTCCATTTGAAAACAGCAGAACTAAAAAAAAAAAAAGACTGTAATGTCAAATCTATTTATAGTTGTCTCTGTATTACTGGAGAATCCTGTGTTCAGAAGTACTTTGTATATACAATGTTGTACATTACAGAGGTACACTCTTTTTTGGTACAATATTGTACAGTAATAGCAATAGTAGTTTAATCAAATAGGCCTTATATAATTCTATGTGTAGTTCTTGTAGTAGATCTGTTTTTTTAATAAACATTGCTTGCTATAAAGGTTCTTGAATTCTTTGTTTGTGACAATGACAAAATACACATTTAATTTCAGAAAATCATACATGAAAATACTGATTAAAACTAAGGACAGAACAAGTTGAAATCTGTGTCAGTCCAAAGTAAGTGCAGTAATTCTGAAGCATATTGTGAGTGACCAAGAATATAAGTGAAACACAAACTGAGGGCTTTAGTTAACCAAAATGTTTTGATGGTCAATTGGGGGGGAAAAAACTTGCTTAAACCGTGCAGAGAAAAGTAAAGCCTCTGGGGTAAGGGTACTCCTGTAGTTTAGTATTACACTTCCATGAAGGTGGGAGACTCACAAGAGGCAGTTTAAATAAAGAACAGTCAAAACTGAAGCAGCAGACATCCTCTTTTAGCCCCTAGTAAGGGTCAGCTCCAAAAGCACTCGATCCTACATTTCCCATGATTCAAATGGATGGCATCTTTCATTAGACCTTCCTTGCCTCCTAAATGCTCACTCTTTTAAAACTCCACACCTCCAGTTTGTAGGGGAGACCGGGGATGGTTGTAACACTGGTCAGTTGTAACAAGTCTAATTTTTGCAGAAAAGATAATCGGTGCCAACCTCCCCTCCATTCAGGACTTATACATTTCCAGAGTCAGGAAACGGGCAGGAAACATCACTGCTGATCCATCTCACCCCGGACACAATCTGTTCCAGCTTCTCCCCTCTGGTAGACGCTACAGAGCACTGTACACCAAAACCAACAGACTCAGGAACAGTTTATTCCCACAAGCCATCACTCTGTTGAAGAGCTGACTCACAGTGTCAGGAACAATTCCTGTGCAATAATTCCTGTTTACTGGCTACCACATATTGTATATACTGTATACCAAATCTACCTACCTCATGTACATAACACCTGCACATAATACTTATTTATTCCAGAATTCTTTGCACTCATCACACTGTGTAGCACCTCCGACATGTACATAATAATAACATTAATGGTAATAATAATTTTCTCCTGCATCCTTTGCACTCTGCTCTTTGCACTATTGTCTCAATCTGTTTGTCTGTTTTTGTTTATGGTGTGTATATATGTGTTCTCTATACTGTAGCCTGTGCTTGATTTTATTAATATATTATTGTGTTATTGTATAAGTAAGCACATCGTGAGCAGTGTACAATCCAGAGTCAAATTCCTCGTATGTGTGCAATAAAGCTGATTCTGATTCTGGAAGCTGTAGCTAGTTCATGGCTACAAGAGTTTGGGTTAGTTAACAACAATGAAAGTGTTTAGTTGTATTTATATGTTTTCTTTTAATTTCAGTATGTTTTTGACACAAACATTAATGTTTATTGTTTTATTATGTTCAAATGTTAGTGTAAGACCTGTAGGCTTCTCTGTGGGCCCATGAGGCCTGCTCTCCGGGAGTCTTGCACTAACACCACTGTGACTGCAAGCACAAACACAAATGCTAATATTCAGTTGGTGCACATTTGCCCATTTTGCTAGATTTTATCATTATGTTCACTTATCTGTCACTATTATGACTGTAAAGTAAAATACTTGGATCACACCTACACACACACACACATGCACTTGTGTTGCAAAGATAACACACTAGGAGTCACACTATTTAATAGCAGACACATGTAACTAGTTTATATCACATTTTTAACGCAATGGCTTAAAAGAGCTCTGAGATACATACAGAAATGTCTAAAATGTTACAACCATGCTCGGTTTTCCCTTAATGTAGGCTTTCTGTTAACATCCCAGATGAAAAATAACCCTAATATTATTGTCAGGGTTATTTTATGAAACTTTGGAAAGCTGCCACCACAACCAGTAGAGATTCTTGTTCTCACAGACTGAATAGTACTCATTGTGTTGAGTATTCTGAGTAAAATCTGTGTTCCCCTTTAACAGAACACAGCTACGTGCAAAGCCTGTTAGGCAGCTAACAAGTGACATGCTGACAAACAGGTAGCCACATACTGTGTAGAGCAGTGGTTTTCAAACTTTTTCATGTCAGGCACTCCTTAACTGACACAAATTACACCACAGACTGCCGTTTGAAAAATTTTGGCCCAGGGTCGACAATCTGATGCTTTTAGATAATGACCACAATATCCATACATTCTATCATTGTGTTACTTATGGAATAACGGTGAAGATGAATTATTCCCCTTTTTGCAGGGGACCCCCTGGAAATCCCTCAAGGACCACTGGGGGTCCCCGGACCCCACTTTGAGAACCACTGGTGTAGAGCATCAGACCAGACAGTGAACATGGAAACAGCTGATCAAATACTAAACCATAATATGAACATTAAATACAAACATTAATGTCACTAGTATTTTACCCACTGTAAAGAAAATAATTGAACTTCTGTGACTCACAAGACTCAGTAAAAGCATCCCAGGGGTCACCTGCCTGGTCTCTGTATTTATTTCTGCACAACTAGGGGAAATATATTTCCCTTATTTTGAATATTACCTCTAAAACCAGTCAGTCTTATATCAACTTAGATTTTACAGGTCAGATTTGTGGATTTGTCTCTCATCCTGGAGCTGCTGGACGTGAATGGAAAAACTGAGATGACGAGACAGCCCTCATGTTAACTTTACAGGGACATGGAAACACATTCATGACGGTTCATGAACCCACTTGGGTTTAATATCTCAAAACAAAAACTACTCTCACTGTAGATGAACACCCAAAAGTGATGACAGATTAGTTTAGGCCCTGATGCTCTTAAGTGTCTTTGGGAAATACCTGTTTTTGTTTGTTGATATGCTGACTTTCCTTCCAAGTATGGGAATATTAGGGTGGAAACTCTGCTGTAGTTTCCCCCCTTTTTACAAGAGTTAAGTTATTGCGAGGGCGGATATTTCATGTCACTGTTTGTGGGGACAATAAAACATTTCCCAGGTGGAGATTTTTAGCAATAAAGTCACTAAGGGTTTGGAAAAGGTAGGCAGCAGACCAAACCACACATGAGGGTGGGACATTTTCTTAGTATTAGAGAACAAGAGCTGGGCAACAGTAGTTATACTTGTTTTGATAAAAAAAAATAATTGTAGGGACAATTCAGTAGTAGCTGGATATTTATAGAGACATGTTCTGTCCCAGCTCTACACCCTTGAATTTGATTAAAAACCCTACAGTTTTTGTTGGCTGATTAGCAGAGAAAAGGGAAATGAAATGAGGTTAAGAAGTAGGCTAAGTAATGTTGATTTAATTGGGCTTGAGAAATAATGTAACATATTGATTTCATACTAGATCTAATTTAACTTTTGTCCTTTCATGAACACTGTTCACTGTTGAAAAGGAATCACAGTTTTCCTGTTTAAAACACCCCATTTGTGTTTAGAAAGAAGCTCTTATAACCTGAGACTGTGGCTCTCCTACATGATGATACGCCCCTGGTTTACCGTAACACAGTCAGACGATCAGGCAGAAAATGAAACTGTCAAGTTTGCACTTCTGTGGATTTCCGCCACCAGTTATGGACCAGATTCTTCCCCTGTGAAGCCCACACTTCCTGAAACAGCTGCTGCCGCTGAAGAAGCTCCTTGGATCCACGGAAGGAAACTGTTTAATGCTCATCAGCGGGTCGTCCCTGGACCCTACCTGTTCAGAAACAGCCGTTAGCCAGGTATGCTGATATCTCTGCGTCTCATTACGGAATAAGTTTAACAAGTAACTTAGGCGTCTTATGTTGGCTGGATTTACCGCACAGCCAGGGAACAGTGTGAGCTGTAACGGAGAATGGTAAAGTTTATTAGCACATCATATTTCCCGGGAACAGTCGTGCTGCGAGGCTAAGAGGGACATTCATTCAGATTAAAGCACGGCTAACAGCTGCAGTACGAGTCCAGGTAAGCTAACGTTAACGTTACAGCTAACATTTAACTTGGCGTAAGTTAAACTAACTTGCTAAATAGCTTAACGTTACTGAACTGGTTAGTTGTTTACTATGTAGCTAGCTAACGTTAGTTGCTTAAAAATTAATCATTATTGTTGTGTTATTAAAGTACACAACCAACGAGCTGGCTGTCAGTTAAGATAACTATAAATAAAAGTCACCAGAGCATAATCGTTTGGCTAACTATGTAACATTTGGTTAGCTGTTAACATCTCCTTAACTTAAGGATTTTAATACGTGTAGGGTTTGTGATAAAGTGTGCTGTATAGGTAACGTTATTGTTATTAGCTAACTAACAGCTCGTTGTTACTAATGTGAACAACTTAACGTTAGCTACTTTGTTCTGCATTTCGTGATTAATTTGTAATGTTTGTTTCTCCTTTAGAAACACAAAGACAAAGAGGTATCTCTCCCTCAGTCTCTGTCAATGTTCTCTAATTCTCTGTCTGATTATTCTCTCTGTCTCTCCCTCTCAGCATGACAGGAATAACAGCCAGTACAACAAACTACCTGTGGTCTTTACAAGATGTCCTTGGTCAAGGGGCTACAGCCAGTGTCTACAAGGCACGCAACAAGGTAGCAAGACACACTGCAGATTATTTCATCATCATAAGGCCACTGTCAAATTGTTTTTCCACTGAGCAGCTCATTCACAACACTGCTGCCACGACCTCAAATGTTTCAGCCTACTTTTTGACTCCAATGCAACACCAGGATGTGAGATAAGAAAAGATTGTGGTTGCAGTGCTCACAGGGGCTGTTTTATCAGCCTTACATGACGCTGTGATGATGCTGATGCAAATGTGTGTGTGTGTGTGTGCGTGTGCGTGTGCGTGTGTGTGTGTGTGTGTGTGTGTGCGCTCGCGCAGAGGTCGGGTGAGCTGGTAGCTGTCAAGGTGTTTAACATGGTGAGCTACAACCGCCCCCACGAGGTCCAGATGAGAGAATTTGAGATGCTGAGGAAGCTCAACCACAGCAATATTGTCAGGCTGTACACTGTGGAAGAGGTAAAGCTACCGGACAAAAGGACACACAGCCACGTATTTTTGGGGATGTCACTGTGTAAAAAAGGGCTGCAGCTTCATTTCAAATTAATTTGGAACATGGATTAGAAGAGCGTCTGTGCACCTGGGATTAGATAGCTTTCTTAATGTATTTTTTCGATTTATATATACATTCTCAGTCACTTTTCTCAGGTGGTTATATTAGCAATTTGAAGGTTTTCAGTATCATGTAAGGTTTCCTTCTTTTCATAAAGAAGTTGGAGGATGTGCATCTCATACTGTCTCTCTCTGTCTCTAGCTGCCCTCTAAACAGAAGGTGCTGGTGATGGAGTATTGTTCAGGAGGAAGTCTGCTCAGCCTGCTCGAGGAGCCAGAAAATGCCTTTGGCCTGCCTGAAACGGAGTTCCTCACAGTTCTGCAATGTGTAGGTGGGTGTATACCTTGGTGTTTCCCAATCATTTTACATACCTAAACTAAAGTATTCCTCTCTTTCCTTCGCTTCAGTGCAGGGGATGAACCACCTGCGAGAAAATGGAGTGGTACACCGGGACATTAAGCCAGGCAACATCATGCGGCAGGTCGGGGATGATGGCAAGTCTGTTTATAAGCTGACTGACTTTGGAGCAGCAAGAGAGCTGGAAGATGATGAGAAGTTTATGTCTATCTACGGAACTGAAGAGTATCTGGTAAGATGAGAGTCCTACAAATAAAGTCAGTAAGCATATTAAATAATTTCTTTTAATTAGGTGAAAGTAGGTGCCTCCATCTTGGCTGCAAAATCCTTTAAACAGACATTTTCATGGTCATCCACATATAATATGTACAGAATATAGATAGATTGATTGCAGTATATTAGATTAGTAGTTAAAAAGGTGTTTTTCAAAAGTTTTGAAAATCTTTGTAAGCAGAAATTCGCGGCCTTGTGTGTGTCAGATCAACAAATCTAGGAAAATAGAGAAGGTTATTAAGTAGGTTTTGAAATATCCTGCTAACTGAACAAGAAAAAAATCAGGTCTAAGATCCTAATTCACTTGGTGAGGGTAATAAGCAACAAAAAAAGGTGCCCGCAGGAAACACTGGTGGAAATTCTTTATAAACCACTTTGATGTCTCAACATTTGTGTTATGGAAATTGGTTTCCACCGCTGTGGTGTGCACCGAGTTCTCGTCTTCACTTCAGGTTAGCCTGCAGGCATTCAGACGTAGCCTGTGAGATTCATATTCCATTACTGCTGCCTTACAAGAGGTGAATTATATTTTTACTGCCTTGGAGGAGGAGGGGCAGTGCAGAGAAAGTGCATTCATGCTCGACTAATGTCCTGGATAAATAAAGACATCAAAGTAGAATAAAACCAAATGTGATGAAATAATAATTGCATCAATAAAAGATGCTCTGTGTATACTATTGATGAACAGTTATTGCACATTTGGTAACCTTGTGTATCAGTCCAGTTTTCCTCCAGGGGAAACTCTCAACATTGCCTTTCACCAGTGTAATGATAGCTTGTTCTTAAGAAAAGAATGTATGTGTATGTTAGTAAAACATGTCTTTACAGTATCCAGTTTTACAGCCAAAGGTGCAATGAATCTAGTCTATATTGCTCCCACTAATTTAGTTGCTTCATTTTATACCCCAGTTGTTTGTCCTTTTCCACACTAAATCATATTACCCTCACTGTTATAGAAAACCCAATTTCCATTGTTTCGCTGACTGTGTTGAAATGGTTTTGTGAGACAGGTCCTGTGGAGCCCAGATCTTGATACCTCAAATGAACTTGTGTTATCAAGACTATGGGGCCCTCTAGTGGACATAAAAATAAATATATTAATAATATATATTATAAGGCATTAAATTCATGGAACCGCTGCAGATACGGAACAGTATGACTAACAAACATTAGCTTATGTGATTCACAGTGACTGCATGTATCTGCCACAATATAATTGATATTTTTAACCAATAAGAATATAGTGTATGTCACATCAGCATTGTATATTTGTGACCTTTAAATGTCTACTAAGTTTAACATGATGTTCTTAGATTTTTGGACTCCTGGAGAAAGAATACATGTTATAGCGCAACACTGCTTATACCTGATTCTTACATGATACTCAAAATTAGATGATAATCCGAACTGCTATCATCATATGAAGGTATGATGATTGTAAATCCACCTATGCAGACTTGCATTTGTCTTTCCCCTTAATATGTGTGTGTGTGTGTGTGTGTGTGTGTGTGTGTGTGTGTGTGTGTGTGTGTGTGTGTGTGTGTGTGTGTGTGTGTGTGTGTGTGTGTGTGTGTGTGTGTGTGTGTGTGTGTGTGTGTGTGTGTGTGTGTGTAGCATCCAGACATGTACGAACGTGCCGTGCTGCGTAAGCCTCATCAGAAGTCCTATGGAGTGAGTGTAGACCTGTGGAGTATTGGTGTGACTTTTTACCACGCTGCCACTGGGAGTCTTCCCTTTATACCATATGGAGGACCCCGCAGGAACAAGCCCACCATGTAAGTGAATACATTAGGTGTGGCAGAGGTACAGTGGGGGAAATAAGTATTTGACCCCTTGCTGATTTTGCAGGTTTGCCCACTTACAAAGAATGCAACGATCTATAATTTTAATCATATGTACATTCTAACAGTGAAAGACAGAATCCCAAAGAAAATTCCAGAAAATCACATATGAATTTATTAAAATTGATAACCATCTGATGAGGAAAAACAAGTATTTGACCCCCTGGACAAACAGCATGTTAATATTTTGTAGAAAAGCCATTATTGGCCAGCACAGATGTCAAACGGTTTTTATAGTTGGTGACAAGGTTTGTGCACATTTCGGCAGGGATGTTGGCCCACTCCTCCCTGCAGACAGCCTCCAAATCATTCAGGTTCCGAGGTTGTCGCCTGGCAACTCTAATTTTAAGCTCCCTCCAAAGATTTTCAATTGGATTCAGGTCTGGAGACTGGCTAGGCCACTCCAGAACCTTGATGTGCTTCTTCTTCAGCCACTCTTTTGTTGCTTTGGCGGTGTGCTTAGGGTCGTTGTCGTGCTGAAACAACCATCCTCGACCCATCTTCAGCTCTCTCACTGAGGGAAGGAGATGTTGGTCCAGAATTCCACGATACATGGCCCCGTCCATCCTCCCCTCAATACGATGGAGTTGTCCCGTCCCCTTGGCTGAAAAGCACCCCCAAAGCATGATGTTGCCACCACCATGCTTGACGGTGGGGATGGTGTTCTTTGGGTTGTACTCGGGGTTCTTTGCCCTCCAAACACGACGAGTTGAGGCCAAAAAGTTCTATTTTGGTCTCATCTGACCACATCACCTTCTTCCAGGCCTCTTCTGAGTCGTCCAGGTGGTGAATGGCGAACTTCATGCGGGCCTGTACATGTTTCTTCTTGAGCAGGGGGACCTTGCGTGCGCTGCAGGATTTCAATCCATGACGGCGTAGTGTGTTACCAACCGTTTCTTTTGTAACTGTGGTCCCAGCTGCCTTCAGTTGATTCATCAGTTCCCCCCATGTGGTTTTGGGATGATTCCTCACCGTTCGCATGATCAGGGACACCCCACGAGGCGAGATCTTGTGTGGAGGCCCAGACCGAGGGAGGTTGGCGGTGGTGTGGTGCTTCTTCCATTTCCTGATAACTGCACCGACAGTTGATCTTTTCTCTCCAAGTTGCTTTCCGATTCTCTTGTAGCCCATCCCAGCCTTGTGCAGATCAACAATCTTGTCCCTGATGTCCGTAGAAAGCTCTTTGGTCTTGCCCATGGTGGTGATGTTGGATGCTGGTTGTTTGGGTGTTGACAGGTGTCTTTTATACAGGTAACGAGGTGAGGCAGGTATATTTGATGTAGATAATTGGTTGGGATTGGGGCTGTGTCTTAAAGAAAGACTAACTGGCTTGTAGGAGCCAGAATACTTGCTGTTTGGTAGGGGGTCAAATACTTGTTTTTCCTCATCAGATGGTTATCAATTTTTATAAATTCATATGATGTGATTTTCTGGAATTTTCTTTGGGATTCTGTCTTTCACTGTTAGAATGTACATATGATTAAAATTGTAGATTGTTGCATTCTTTGTAAGTGAGCAAACCTGCAAAATCAGCAAGGGGTCAAATACTTTTTTCCCCCACTGTACCTCATAGGCCACACATCACTTACAGCAACATTCAAACTCCACCCCTTCAGTCATAGGTAATGATGTAGTTCATGTATGTATTTATTTACATACATGAAATTATGACATTGAGTTTTGCCTAAACTACTTGTCTTTAGCTCTATTCCAGTCAAGATCCATAAAAATATTGGAAAGCATACCGCCATGAAATCAGTAGATTGCATTTCATCTGTGTTAATGAAAACGCCACTCAACTATTTTAATTGTGCAAATGCTTAGACTTCCACTTAGAGAAATGTATTTTGCTGCATGTCTTCAGGAATCCTAGAGTATCAGGCAGAACATAAGCATCCATTAATGATCTATCACCCTGATCTGTTTGTTTTGTTGTGCAGGTACAAAATAACTACAGAGAAGCCTATGGGGGCAATAGCTGGAGTACAGCGGGAAGCGGACGGACGTATAGAGTGGAGCTACCACCTACCTCACAGCTGCCAACTGTCACAGTATGTCACCTAATAAGTGCATGTAAACATGCATCTTAGTAACTCTTCTTTAATGAGAACACGCGTCTCTCTCTGTCTCTCTCTCTCTCTGTCTGTAGGGGTCTGATGGTGCAGCTGGTTCCAGTACTAGCAGGCATACTGGAGGCTGACCAGGAGAGGTGTTGGGGTTTTGACCAGTTCTTCACAGCCACAACCGACATACTGCAGAGGCAGCCAGTTCACCTCTTCTCTCTGCAACAGGCCATGGCACATTGCATCTATGTGCACCACCACAACACGTAAGTCTTCACAGGTGAAGCAGGACTGCAGTGTGTACAGGACTGTTTAAAATGTAATGGAGTGTGGGAAAAAAAAAGGCAACACAAGGAGGATGCCACAACTCATACTGTAGCATTCAGGGATGTTTTTTTTTCGTTTTTTCTGACCTGAAAATCTGACCCATGTGAATCATGCAGATCTGTAATAAAAAAAAAAGGGGGGGGGGGGGTACAGGAGCTGGCCGAGTGAAACGGAAAGGATTTGAGGACATCTATCTATCATCTATCACCTGCACAGTGTGTAGCCTACTACAGTCACTCTCGCCCATCAGTGGTACATAACGTGTTGGGCTGTAATACTGCAATATTTCTTTTCGCAGTAAAGAGTAATGTAATGGATTACTATTTCCAAAACAGTTATATTATTACAGAACTGTAATGATTGCTAACTTTACAAATCCAAGTAAATGTGCGCTACTGAACGCACGATTCCTAACGTGAATGCGTGACCGTGCTCCTGGTCAGCGGCGCCGGTGTTCTGACGATATATGCTGCCTTGTCGAAAAATGCTACCATAGCGCAGAATCTATCAAGTCGCTCTGCCCTATCGAAAAATCTTATGTGTTCTCTTTTCCAAACCCATAAAGTTATAACTCTCACAGTATTATGAAATCTTCTGTTTTTTGATTATATTATAACATCATTTCAGGGGTAGCATGTTGTGATAGACTAATATCCCCTATCAAAAATGCTCCCACTACAGAATCATTTTATATTGCACCACTCCTCACTCCACGTGTATTGTAAGGAGATGGGGAGCATGTTGAAATACTATATTATACCATCTTCATTTAAGATATCAGGGATAGTGTATTCTGATAGACTAATAATGATTTTTTGTTTCGATTTTGCTGACGATCAGCCACTGTCTCGACGGCATGCCCAACAGCATGGTTGCACAGATTTATGGGTGTGAAAACGTTATGCTGTTAAAAGTCAGCTGCTAAAGGAAGACTGGAGAACAGGGATAGAGAGGTATTTTCGATAGCTTTAAGTAACGTTATTGCCATTTTTGTGTCACAGTCTAAGATGCAAAGAACATTGTCCTCCGGGGTTTATATAAGGCCTTTTCATAAGGATTTGATCCGTGGGGTAGTTCTGTGCTCCTCATCAACAGACAGCAACAGCAAAACAAGGCTCTGTCGCGGTCGTTCTCGTCTCACGCACATGCCCGCTGCCAGAGTTTATGTCAAACTGTTTCCTACAGTTTATTAATAGACAGAGTGATCAGGGCCCCATCTCAGAAAGCGGGATTAGTGAAAATGTGACTTTCTGACTGTGGTGCAGCTGAAACAAACAGGCCTAAATAAGGTTTAAAAGTGAGTTTTTTATTATTACCTGCTGATAGTCTGAATGTGTTTTGACAGCATTAATAAAATACTTTCTGGGTGTCACTGACTTTACAATCACAGTTCCACGAGTAAACTGTGTCCTATATTTGATCAATAGGCCTCACTTAATAAAATTTAATGGGCTGTAGCACTTTATAATTTATTAAGGAAAGTCCAGTCTGGTAAATGATGAATGAGCAACACTGTGTAGTAGCCTAATATTAACGCATTGATCCTTCTTCCACTCCTGCGTTTTAGAGCCTGTCATGGCACGCATTCATATTTCTAGCTTCACCCGATTGAAATGGAGGCTCTGCCTTTATTTACCCGTTACCATCCCCACACACGCGCTTCCATCAGGCTCAACATACTCAGAGTTGATTGAACTTATTCTGATCAGCTGTTCTGGAACCGAAAATTCAGAGTTTCCCACCTCAGTCTCAATCAACCCAGAGCTCAGGGATAAGCTCAGAGTTTGTTAAGCCTGCTTTCTGAAACAGGGCTCTGGCTGTTTGTTCTGAGTTTCCTGAATAATGTAACTGTTTCTTTAACAGTTAGGCCACCAGGTCTTAAACAGGCAACAACCTTTGCTGCTGTCTCTTATTCATTAAAAATAATCTATTAACTTCTACTGAACTAATTTAAAAGTTAGTAGTTATATTATTTAGTTATAGACTCAATTATTTCATATTTCATGTTGCACATTTAGCGGTTGAAGTTTGGTAAAAAATGAATACAAAATAATAATTATTATAGAGAGGTTGCGATAGCACAGGGGATTAGACACTTGTCTTTGATTACCAAATAAGTTATTGTCATGGGTCCTGTTTTACCATCCATGTTATAATAGAGCCGCCGCCAGTTTTATTGGGGTGTGGGGGGGGCTCAGTATATTTTCCTGCTTTTTTGCCTTTTGCCAATCACATGCCTGAGCATTTAACTTAATCCAGTTACTATTTTGAACAAATGTTGCTTCCACAACAAGAAAGGAGGGAAAAGGGTTTGTTTTCATGGCTGCATACTGTATTATGCAGCTTCCTGACCTATAAATGTGCTTTGCCTCTTCATTTGGTGTTTTGGTTTACTTTACAGCGTAGCACAAGAGTAGGTGGGGGTTTAGAGCAAAGTGTTAACTATGTAAATGAGGTAGTGCGGGGTGGGATGTTGGTATTTAGGTCAAAAGTTACGGTAGGTATTGACTCAGTCGATGATTCCACCAACGCCAATAATGTGAAGCAACTGCGGGATTATACAATTGTACAATCACAATGCCGGCTCAAGATTGTGATGTCTGGCAGCCATCGGCATTAGATGATGGCATCGTCTAACACTAATGCCCATTGCAGAGAATCACAATTATAGCAGTTACTAAAAGCACTGACCCTGATCTTAAAATTTATTCAGGTTGCAAAAACGCTCTCTCACTATTCTCAATCCTTTCAGGGTGTCAGTATTTTTTGAGGAGGTGGTGTCTCAGACTAAGATAGGTGTACAGATGCAACATCTACTGTACCTGGGTCACAACGTCCACCTGGAGGGCAACATGAAGGTGGTGAACCTCCCGCGTACTTCACCTGCCCAGCCCCTCATTCTGCTCACCCACGGGCCTGAAGGAAATACCACCCTGCCCTTCAGAGAACGTAAGACAATCAAAGACACGCACACACACCTTTTGATATGTTTCTGTGATGTCTAAAGCTTCTTCTCCTTTATTCTTTGCTGTTCCCCCAGGGAAATATGAAATAGTTTTGATAAGAGGTGTTTTCCAGCATCACACTCAGAAAACACATAAATATCTTTGAAAAGCAGCTGTTGTATGCAAGTTTTGTTGCATAATATGTATTTGAATGCAAAACCCGATATAGGCAAATGATATACAAAAAATGAGTGCATAATGAAGGTTTGTTAAAAAGGACACATGCACACTGTTTCCATAAGTCATATGTTTTTGGGATGTGGTCTCTTCTGTAGCAGAGACTCCAGTCATCCCATCCAGGTTTGACGTTATGGCAGACTACAACTTCTCAAAGGTACTGCTGCTCTGCTGTTTTTTTTTTTTACCCAGCCATGCCTAATGTTATGTACATTTTTTAATTATTAGAATTGTAAGTGTTATACCACTCCAACCCATTATTATTATCTCCTTTATCTCTGTAGGTAATAGTGGGAGTGGTCCACCAGTATCTGAGGATAGTACAATTGCTGCACACACACAGAGAGCTGCTACTGCAGGGATACTACAGCTACATGTGAGACACACACCGCACTGGTTGATGAACCTCTCAGGTTATCCAATTACTCTACGTAATGACCTTTGTCAAACTCTTCTTGTCCTTCAGGATGGGTTTGCGCCGGGAGTGTAGAGAAGCAATGCACAGTATTGCAATGATCACCATTAGATTGCAGGCTTGCCTCAGCGTAGAACACAGGATTCACACACTGTGAGTTCATCTGCACACTTTTTGAGCTTATTATAGTGAATCTGTGATGTCACAGTTGGGGTGCTGAATTGCACAGATGATTGTATGTATTTTATTCTCCCATATCTCTTATATCTTAATTTTTCTTAGAGGCCAATATTCTTCGGAAAACCAAGGTTCAGCTGATAACGGCCAAAAGCTGCAGCTGGTGAGTGGCATCAGGAAGAAGCATCGCAGAAGCCATCTTGACTTAGCTGATGGAAATGGTGTTGGGAGTGGGGCTTTTTCTTTATTTTGATGCTGTTATTTCTTCATTTTTGAGTATATAATGGAGAATGACTTTTCATAATGAAAGGAGCTAGAGCAAAGGGATGGCATGCAGCAAAGGTGTTGCAGACCTCCTGTTTTAATGGCCAACTATTGGCTTTACTTATAGGGATGACTTACCCTCACTATTGAAAGTAAGACTGGGAATTTTTTTTAAATTACAGTACAGATACCAAAATGATACTTTTATGAATTTAAAAAATCCTTTATGGAAACAAAGCCAGCCGTCTTGAATGTGAAAGGCTGAAACACAAACAAGCAGAAGAATTTTGCCCATATAAACTAGTCTTACAAAAGCAAGACTACAAATCTGACCAGGCACTTTCAATATGGACACATTTCGGTCAGTACTGAAAAATTATGAGGTTTGACACATAGTTTGCCGATATCTGGCATTTTTAGATAATCTGCATCGGCCGATGCCTGCACTCACGAGGCTGATGTCTCAGACACACACACATTTGCAGGCAGCCTTATCAGTGGTGCTGTTGTGGGAGGATATTAGCCCTCCCCCTTTTGAGATTTTGGGAAAGTGGTAGTTTTAAGCCCTAAATCTCATGAGTTCTCGGTTAACACGTTTCTATTAAATGACAGCAAATCTAATCTAAAACCATTACTGTCTAGCGTTAAATATATATTGTTATACTGCAGAGAATAATGCAGCTGAATGACGTCACATCTGACAAACTGAACCCAATCTTCCTTAAACACCATCTACCTGTTAAATTCTCCTCAAGGAAATAGATTAATTTCCAAGACACCAGTATCATTCTGAAATCTACAGCACAACCCAATTTTCCCCAGAAGTTGCTGATGCAACCACTGCACATCATATTGAGCCTTCTGAAACGATTTGTCAGAGCTCTAGATAAGGAGTCGGCAGCTTTCAAGTGCCTTCAAGACTTCTTCCCTAAGCTGTCTGGGGTAAAGATCAAAGCCGGTGTATAAATACATGTTAATTTGGATTCATATGTTGTTTTTTTCTTACTTTATGAGAACGAAAAGACACAAATTTGCCCGTTTTGTCATTGGAAATAGGTCAATTTCAAAATATCACTGTCCTGGTCACGAAAGCAAAGTTTGTGGGGAATCATTTTTCTATACTACCTTTGATTCTGTGGCAGACTTGGGATTTGTTGATTTGGATGTCAGAGTCTGTGGCTGCTGTCTCTACAGGTCCATGAGCACTTGCCTATATACACTGCCGGCATCCAAGAGTTTCAGAACCGACTGGACCATCTGCAGATAGAACAGGCCAAGCTAGCAGAGACGCTGGCCAATGACAAGAGGTACTCAGAGATTCAAAGCTTCCGGAGTGACCTCATGGGTTTGTGGTGTTTGAACTTTGACCTCTTGTCTCCCACAGCTGTCAGAAAATGGAGATGCTGCTACAGAAGATAACAACAATCCATCAGCATTATCGTAAAGACAGATTTACTGGCAGTATGTATGTTTCTTTGTTGGTATATTCTGTGTATTTAATGCTGTTTTTGTTCAAGGTAACAATACTTTACACTTTTCTTGTTTTCACCACAGAGTTGGCATATAATGATGAGCAAATCCACAAGTTTGAGAAGTGAGTATGTGTCCACCTAGCAGCTGTCCTGCTCATCCAGCCTGCAAGGGATATTGTTCTAAGTGCTCTCTGTAATCTGCTTGTCTCTCCTCCTTCCCAGAATCCACCTGTCGTCCCACATTAAGCGAGTGAAATCTCTTTTTAGAGAGGACTGCGTGCAGAGATACAAAGAGCTTTTGGCCACAACAAGGACGTGGAGCAGGTCAGAACAGTACAGACTTTGGACCAGATTCACCTCAGCTGTGTTATCTCAACTGTTCTTGACTGTTTAGAATAAGATGAGTGTTTGTTTGGTTTGACAGCCCTTCACAGATCATCAGTCCCCCTAAAACATATTAAGTTGGTAGTCTGCATTATTAATCCTCACCTCAAATTTGTTTAGAAAGGGATATTGAGATTGTAAGTTGTATTACATATCCCTCTATAATTCTTGAATTGCTGGTCAGTTTGTTATGATCAAGTTTTAACATTTCAGATTACATCTGGTCTATTACATCATCTAAAATGATGTGGTAGGTATAAAATTAGGTTTCTCCTGTGTTATTAGTGTTAGAACTACAATTTAGCTGATGTTACATAAATGCATATACCTATTTCAAATGTGCGTGTGTGCGTGCGTGTGCGTGCGTGCGTGCGTGCGTGCGTGCGTGGCCAAAGACTCAGGCTTGAAATGAGGCTTCCCAGGGACAGGGGAACATGTGCCAAGCAGTAGTGCAGGACAGTTTTCAGGTGTGAATGTATTGGTAGTTCTGCATCCATCCAAAGTGCCCATCACATGTCCAGGCTTCCAGTGAGGATTTGGTTGTTAAGGTTTGTGAACTTAAACGCTTTGGTTTACGGCTCAAGTATTGTTTTGGTCTTAAGAGAGAGGTTAAATAAAATGACATTAGGATAAAAAGATATTTAAATACTTAATAATTAAATATTATCTTTTAAATTCAATACATGTACTACTTGTTAACAAATTATCACAAGTGCTGGCCCTCAAATAATTAAAAAAATAATTTTAAAATTGCACATGGCAGATTTCAGTCTTGAACTAACAAATTTTTACATTTTTCCCCACTGGCACGTTGTAAAGATGGTAGCTTTGACTTGCTGAAATCTGTCTTTACTGTAGTGTTTTACTGGAGATGCAGACCCGACTGCAGGACTTCAGCTCTTTCTCCACAGGCTTGTTGGCAGACCTGGAGATGAGTGAGCAGCACCAAAATAAGGTCAGCATGTCACTTTCTGTCTCTGCAGCTAAGATGAAAGATTGAAGCAACAGTTGATATTCTAACATTTTTGTTAAATAGATTTGGGAGTGTTATTTCAATTGTAATGCCAGTGATGTCACTTGTGTTGCATCTTAGTGTAATGATGTAACATCTCATTGGTCCTTCTCAGGCTCTGGACAAAATCCTTTACAGTCTGCAATCCAAGAGAGCAGGACAACAGCCTGGAAACCCGACAAGGGACAAGGACCAGATGGTCTCCAGGTGTGTGTCTGTGTGTGTGTGTGTTTACAAGATAGAGAAAGTTGCGTGATTGCCCTGATTACATATCTTTCTTTGTTCTAGGATGCACCATCTGAAGGAGGAAATGGAGATATTGGTGAGGGAACTACAGAGTAACAACAATATTATTGAGAGGTCAGTTGAATGACTAACTTCCTGTGCATACGACTCTTCCTCTGTCGAAACTCACACCCCCGTATACTGTAGGTGAGACATTCTGATGTTGACTGTATTTCTTTTTTCCTACAGTCTGGGAGCAGTGAACTCCGCAGCAGCTCTGGGGCCGAGCTTGGCCAGACCTTCTACACTGTGACAAAAGTGCAGCATCTTTGCATCTTAGCTCACAAATTCATATACACACTCCCTCAGACAAACACCTTACTTAAACTGCCATCCATGAAAAGTTATGGATATTCTCTCAAGGACCGGCTGCACCCAGTGCTGTATGAAGAGGAAGCAGCAGAAGACAATCAATAATATGTGAAGCTCAATTTAGAGATAAGATGCAAAGAACAGAGAAGGAGGAAACACCACTGATGGAGTTTGGCCTGAGTGCAGCAGTTCAATACAAACCTCATTAATGCCTTGTATTTCTAATAGGCTGCAACAGTGATGGACCGTCAGGATAAAGCTAAATGAATGCAAATGAAGCTGCTAGTGTTTTTCTAAGGCCGTGTTTCTTTTTGGTCTCACTGTGGATTCAGCAGGAACTTAAGTGATTAATTTATACTGACTGTCTCTCTCTCTCTCTGTATGTCTCTTATGTTTGTGTTTATTGAAAGAAGCGCTTGAGTCATTTCACTATAAAAGAGAAGGACCTGAATCAGGGAAACTCAGCACTCACCACAGGGTCTCCTTTTTAACAGAACTGCACAGTCCAGTGATATTACAGCCAGTTAACAGTAAGGAAATGACATTAACCAGCATGGTTCACAGGGGTGGGGAAATCCCAGGGTGTATTTGTTTTTAAAGGGACCACATGTGATGCTTAACATATACTTTTACTGTACTTATAAACTGTTCTGCCATATTTTTAATCTCTTGTTCGTTTTTGTCTTGAGTAATGATTTTATCTCAGTTAATGAGGACGAATCAACACATTCTGAAAAGTCCGTAAAGTTGTGTGACAACAGGACGCTCTCATATTCAATCTGTAGCCTACTTAAATTACTTTTACATGACTTTAACACAATTTGATGTGGCTAGGTGTATCTGGGAGGGGAAGTATAAAGGTCTCAAAAAGAACAAGTGAGCTGTTGTGACATCGCAAAGTGCAGAGAATTAAAAGATTTTCACTCGGTGTGGAGGCGTGGTGTGGGTGTCCTCGGGGGCTTTCTCGGCTTGGTTCGGGGGACGCGCAACTGCCTCTGTGGTTTTGTGACCGTCATATGACGGGCTCTTGGCAAAGTGGAAAATTTGATAACTTTCCTGTTCTTAGTCTACACAAACAAGTGTGACATTGTGTTTTTATCACCTAGACTTTCTCGTGTTATACATTATGACAATATTCAGCCTCATGTGTCAGTCCTGTTTCATACCAACACATAAGTTTCACACAACACGTCTGCCCAGCCCTTTTTAACAACTACAAAAAAGTATTAAATAATTGATTACATAAAATAGATGCCCTTCCCTGGTCAAAAACGGGGAGGTCTGTGTAAATACAAAGACTACTCTCTAATATGTAGTAATACCGTTTTTAAACATAGTATCTAGACAAATTAAATAGGAAACCTAAAGCCTTATTATTATGTTCCATGTGTCATACTTCTTAATCATGTCTCCGGTAGCTCCATGGGTTCTTTATCTGTGATTGTGGTTTCTAGTTTATGCCAGTCTACTTTCTGTAGTCTACTTTTAGTACGCCTATAAGTGGTTTCAGAAGGTTATTATCAGGACTAAATTTAGAGTGAAGGCCTACTATTGCTACCAGGCAATAGTAACAAAACAGCTAACATAACAATGAGTCATCAGAAAGTTACGTGCTATAATCGAGTGAATCAGTGTTTAATAAATCGTTAGTGAGAAATCAAAAATACAGCATGAGCCTGGGATTATGCGCGCGCTCACGTGGCATTAAAAGGGGCGCGCTTGCGGCGTTTAAAGCCGTCGGATCCCTTGCGTCACTACTACACGCTTGTCGCAGGCGTGAGTTGAGTTTACATTCAGGGCACGGAGTAAAAACGCTCACTAGTAGGCCTACACACTCCAGACAGCCAAACACACACGCATTACAGGGGGACGGGGTAATGGCGTCTGTCAGTGTGGTGGGGCAGCACCCGGGTCCGCACAGGCTGGACTCGGAACAGCAGCTCCTTCTCTTCAAACTGCCCGGCGGGAAGAAAATCTCCAGGAAATCGTCCTGGGAGAAGATGTTGTTCAGGAGAGGCTCGGGGAGCGGCGGGAGGTGCGGGTCGGTCACTTCTGAAGGGGAGCCGGGAACTCATCCCTTGTCTCCGGGACCAGCGGGGGAAAGGACGATGAGAGGAGAACTGATGCCCGGTGAAAGATGCGGAGCTCCGGCTGCGCCACGTAGCCCGGATCAGGACAGAGAGATGGGCAGCACGGACTGCGACAGGCGCACCGCAGCCGGGACTCGAGAAAGTCAACCCGGGCACAACATCAACTGTGACTCAAACCATAACACAGGTGGTCGGAGGAGGACTTCGCTCAAGAGGTCTGGCGGATCGGTTACGAATGGACACAGCGGAGCGCATCGGGACGCGCCACACGGGAGACGAGACGCCCGGAGCATAGACAACATTTCCTCATCCTCCGAGCGAGCACAAGAAGAGACCGGCGGTCTCCCGCTGCCGCGCCTGACACAGGGCAGGACTGGAGTCGTCAGGCTGGCCCGCACCGAGCCTCTCCGTATGGAGGCCTGGTCCATCTTTCCCCGGGAGATGGACCCCCGGGTGAAGACCGAGAGGGGTGAAGGACACAGGTTCGAGGCCAAGCCAGTTACGCGGGACTGGTGTGATGCCTGTAGTTGTCAGATCACTGCACAGGCACTCAAGTGTCAAAGTAAGTAACGTCAGGTGTAGTCCTTCAAATCATGTATTCATCTGTCTTGATGGTATTTCTGTGCATGTGCCAGTGGGAGTGAGTGAGTGCTGGCATGCACCTTCCTTCTTGTAGCCTTCACTGGTAGATTATCTAATGAAAGGCACAAGTAGCCAGGTGCTAAATACTTCCATGCTGGTGGCTCCGCATCATAATTATGTCCCTACTTCTTAATCCAGTGTCTGCCAGCTCCTCACAGATTCTTCATTTGTGATTGTGCTTTCTGGTTTATGCCAGTCTATTTTCTATAGTCAACCTATACTACAGGTGTTCTCAGAAGATTATTACTCTGACTAAATTAAGACTGAATGCTTGTAGCAGTAGTAACAAAACAGTTAACACAATGAGTCATCAGAAAGTTTAAGTGAAAACTAATATGTACACACCTATTTTCAGTCCTGCTACAGCTATGTTGGTGAATGCAGGGGGGGTTTCATTTATTGGCCTGTACCTTGTTTGTGGCTTACTATTATTTATGAAGGGCACAGGCAGCTGGGTGGTAAACTCTTCCATGATCATTGTGCCTTTTGTAAGTGAGCCAGTATGACAGGGAAGGACATTTCCAGGCATTTTGTCCAATAGACAAAGCCAAAAACCTTCTATGGAAAGCCCATTATCTTGTCCTTCCAGCTTTGCCTCCCGGAGTTCTTCTCACCCTGTGGTTTTCAGCCATGGCTCAAAGAGCGAGGGAAGGATTTAATTTAGAAGTCATGCTTTGGTGTAATCCGAAAACACATAGGAAATGTCTGTAAAGGTCACACTGGACTGTGAGTGTGCATGAACAGATGTCTTTTGGTGTTTTAGACTGACAGTGGAAGCCACATTCTTCATTGATTGTGTGTTGGAGTGCCTATTTAAGGCCATTTAAAACTTTTTAATTCATTGTGCCTGATATCTCTGGAGTCACATCCCTGACTGTACTGCTGAGAGCAACTCAGGCGCTGATGACATCACTCCCACCTGCCCCGCTCTGGGACACAGAGAGATTGGGCCAAGCCAATTTGACCTGGCACTGTGGATATTTGTTTAACTGTGTGTGTGTGTGTGTAGTGGCTTTTCTGTGCACATACAGTACTGCCCCTTGCATGGTGTAACTATGTGTGTGTGTGTGTGTGTGTGTGTGTGTGAGTTCATGCGGATGCTGAGTTGGCATTGTGTCAGCAGCACTCCGTCACATGGAGGCTGCGGCTGCAGAGCAGTGTGAGATAAAGCGATTGAAGAAGGGATTGAAAGGGACAGATGAAGAACGTACCAGCTGAAATAGAGGAACAGAGCCAAGGGGAACAAGGAAGGGAAAGGATGACAAGTTGGTCAAGTTACAAAAGTTAGTGGAAAGAGTCAGAGGAGAGGTGGAAGGAGGGAGGAAGGGTGATAGGAATAGAGGCGGAGAGCTAGAACAAGAGCGATGGGGAGGAAAGGGAGCCAGTGCGTGTGAGGGAAGGGGAAAAGAGCGAGAGTTTGTCCAGCACTGCAGAGCTGTCTGATTTAGTGTGCTATCAGCACAAGATCAGTGAAGCGAGAGCAGAGATTACTGGAGCACTATACACACACACATACACACACAGAGTCATGAGTTACTTTACAACCCAAGAACTTCACTGAGTTTTTTGTCCTCTCTCTTCAGTCTCTTTTATGCATCAAGCCAATTAGCTGTAGCTCAGCTCTCCTATAGAACTTTTCCGCTCTCTTTTCTCAGAAAACATCAGAGGTGAGTGCGGCGTACAGTCATGGGGGTCACCAGGGCATTTATGACAAGCAATACAAATTTGGGCATTTCAGGGTATTTCTGTGGGGAGTAACTCAACCAAAACTGCCAAAATAGAAACGGCACGCACGCACAAACACACACACATTCTCTCCTTTCAACTACACCCAGCAAATGACAGGGGGTAGAGAGAGGAAGGCCTTGCAACCATAAACAACCATCATTCTGTGTCTTTGTCTTGTTGTCGCTGCCTCTGTCTGTCTCTAATTTATCAGCTTCCCTGAATCTGTGCTGGCTTTGTTGTGTATGAAGCTTACAGAAACAGCTATGCAGCCCTTTCTCCCCTGGGACAGCCGAGAGCTTGCAGGGACTGTTGATGTGGCCTTGCCCTACAGTGGAATCTGTCAATCTAGCCAGAACTCCAAGTCTCATAGTCTGCCTGTCTGACGTTGTGGAGTCTTCTGAATGTATTCCCATGGCTGGCTTTTCTAAACTCGTTATTGCTCCGGTTGGGAGTTCCAAAAGTCATTTAAACACACATATACAGTATAAATACACACACAGAAAGAACAATAAATACTATGCTTTTGAAATAATAACTGTATGGAGATGTGAGTGATACACATAGGTGCAACAGTTATTTTAAATCTATACTGTAGATTAGGCTTGTGCGCTGTCAGTGGCTGTTGATTATCATGAACTGATTTGTCATGTTGTGCCGTTGGTCAGGGAAGGGAGGAAGGAGGAGGGGAGCGGGAACGGCAGCCTCCTTAATCCCAGCTCTGGGTGTCTCCTGCCTGGGATTATGTGTCGGGGATGGAGAGGTTGGGATTACAGACTGGCAGACAGAATCAGATTAATATTTAATTAGGGAACCATGCTGTTGTGGCACAAGTGCTCTGACACGGTGGGTTTGGTCCTCTCCTCTCCTCAATCTCTGTCTTGCACCTCTTAATGTACATACACTATTTCTAATTGCCATTTAAACCTCACTGGGGAAGCCCTCCCAAATTAACATCTAAGCAGCAGATGACACACTAATGTGATTTAAGGATATTTTAAAGTGTTTATAAATATAGTCATCAACACCTTTGAACGATTTAAACCCACCTGAATGATTTGTATGTGTTTAAACAGTTAATAAATACCTTTTAACGACATATTTGTTCATGTTTAGTCAAATATCATTATAAAGGAATAGAGCCATGTAACACTGTTCATAAGCAAGTCATTGATGCTTCATAGAAGGAGTTATAATTGTTGACAAAT